AAAAAGAGAAATTAGTAAATCTTAGATATTATCCTTAGTTTTTAAGAATAAGTCAAGTTTCCTCCTGGGAAGTCACTTGGATTAGTTCAGCGAGCAGCGAGTTCCAGCATATGTTAACTCTTAAGGAGTAGCAGTTGTGTCAACAATCCGTCTTACTGTGTTGTGTCTCCAGTTTCTGGGTGTTACTACTAGAGTGGAGTTTCTTAAGTTGTAACTGTAGTCTGAGACATGTCACAGATGAACTACTTTACACTTTGAAGTGTTAAAGGTAAGTCCTTTATCGTCTGCCCAACTTCGGATTCGAGTCAGATCCCCCTGAAGTTCCTGTATATCTTCTTTGTTGTGTATCTCTTTTCAAAGTTTTACGTCATCAGCAAAAATAATGTCTGACGATACTTGTTGAGGAAGATCATTTATGAAAACCAAGAAAAGAAGAGGTCCTAGTACTGATCCCTGAGAGACCACACTGGAACATTCCATAGCCCGTGATAAACTGAAGTTGACCCTGATCTTAAAATGTCGATTTTTCAGATATGAAATGAGGCTGTTGCGGTTAACAAATCCCCAAAATAAAGAGCTCTGTAAGTTTTCGACATCGGATGCTGACCAAATTCGTTTTAATGGACTCATCTAACTGAAGGCGCTCGGTCATGCATCCACACCAGATCACGTGTGGGAACGCCGTGCTCAACATCTACTTCAATCGCTAGCCAGATTAGATCAGACGATCCTCGATATATTGGCAACCTATCAAATATATCTTCGAACCTCCTCGCTTCTGTCTTTTGATTTTACTTGATGGGTTAGCTTCATATTAGAAGGTGTTACTGGTTAAAGCGTTGTCAAACTCCGAATACTTGTGACATCTTCAAGACAATCAATTAGAGGTGGTCTGATATCGTTCGTTTGAGATTGTTGATAAGACAAATATGGCTAACACTATCAAAATGTTTTGAGTAATCAAGGCAAATGATGTCAACCTCGCACTTGAGATCAAGGGTGCTTGTCCATCTGTCCACCACAGTCAGCAGATTGTTTTTACAAGAGTAACCCTTCCTGAAACCATGCTGTTGAGGTGAGAAGAAATATAAGGACAGTAAATAGCCATGTATATCAACTCATATCATGGACTCCATGATTTTTGAAGGTATAAAGAGAAGCACCGCCGGTCGGTAACTTGAAGGTTCGCTGTGTCGACCTTTTTTGAAAATGGGTGTGATGGGAGTCAGCTTCCAAATCTCCGGTAGTCTGCCTCGGCTTAGCGATTATGAGAACATCACGCTAAGCGGTGTCGTCAGGATTGAAGCTGCTTCCCTCAGCATAGCAGAATGCATCATATCTGGGCCATAAGAAGTGCCTTTTCTTAAGTGATACAGCTTCTGAAACATCATGCAAGCGCTCAGGTTCACTTCAAAAAGTCCTGTGTTGCGTAAGAACACAGCAAAAGTTTGAGAGATTCAAATCACGTTAGGACTAAACTCCCCGTCCGAAAAGCGCGCGCAGAATCAAGTCGATTTAAACGAAAGGTCACACGAACTATATTAGAACTAGTATTTTTCGATACCATGAAAGTCAGTTATCATCCCAATACGTTGATATACTATACCAATCCATTTTTATTTTGGTTAAGGACTTGAGTGATTCCAAAAAATGTGTGGGGAAAATTTAAGGTTAAACAAGATATTGCTTTTAGTACTTTTCGAAAGTCATCGGTAAATTCTTAATTAGAAATAATAATTAATAGTAACCTTCTTAAACAATATATAGCGAGCAGCTGTGAAAATCGTCAACATCATACGGAATTCATACAATGAACTACACTGTAAAATCGTGCATGGAAGACAGCTGACAGAAGTATTCCAAGTGAGAACCAGTGTCAGACAAAGCTGCTTACTCTCACCCTTTATCCTCTTTTTGTTTGATGACTGGAATATAGAGATCATCTTTAGGGAAGGATGGACCCAGCTGTTCTATCGCATACGCGAAAATATGTGCAGATGAAGAAAACGGATGTAAAGGAAGACTCTAATTTTGTAGGCTTGAGCACACGCAAGGGGAAAAACGTTGTCTTTATATACGACACGAAAAACACTGTAGGTCGGTCCACTGGATATGGAACAGTTCAACGATCTACTTCGAGGTCAGCGACAATCGACAGTCATCAGCTAATCGTAAGCCACAGACTGTCACATGCAGCAGTGGTCTTATTCTGTCCCTTGCATATACTCCTACTAATTCATCTCTGCAAAAGCGTCGTTTATGTCGTACCATCATCAAAGACAATAATAGTACCTGGATTTGATGAAAGGATAATTCACGTTAGTTACTAACCGTGAGGTGTGATCCCAACGTTGGTCGTCTCCTGTGAAATTATGGTCTTAGTTCGATGTTAGTATTACGATAATAATAGACCTAATCCCATAATTGTAGATCTGTCATGATGCGAATACCTGATCTATGAGATTTTACATGGAAGTCACATCATCGTCTATTCTGACTTGTCGTATCTTAAAAGTCGGCTATATATCATCACATTTTTTTGAAGAGCACCCTTTAGCTGGATAGAAAGTAATGTGTTTAATACAAAATTCAATAGGTTTAAGTTAGTGACCATCTCTGCATGGCACAGACATACCATCTAAATGCTATCTTTCAGCTTTCACAATTACCAACCTTCTCCTAGTGTTACATGTCGGATGTCAACCTTCTTAGTAATCATATTTTCAGATTCGAGAGTCGTGTGGTTATGAACCAATGCCGCTACACCACTCTTTCTCCAGAATCAACTTGACGTTGGTACGATACACATAGATTAAGGGTGTTGTGCGCCAGAGTTTGCCGAATTAACAGTAACAATACTCTGTGTATTAATAAGTTGAATGATAAACAAATATAAAGGCAGCTGTTACTGATTGGAAAATGAATGTAACAATTTCAAAATTGTGATCCTATTACTAACACGCAAAATGTAAATCCATGTAAAGATTATATAAGAGTTAAATCAAATGGGATTATAATAATTAAGGGTGATTTAGTACAATATATTTTACCAAGTCACGTTAAGATGTTGTATATTGTGAGCATGAATAAACAAATAATCCATATTGTAGACATGTTGATGGTGTTGTTATCTATGGTTTAAATTAGAAAGTCAGTTTACGTTTATGCCGGTATGTTGTCCATATCTGTTGATTATTTATTGCACTTGCATTAGTAGGCTGAATGAGGAAATAGAAGTATATCCGCAGAGAAGAGGAATTGCAACTAGTGTTTCAGCTGGTTTGTTAACTTCAACATATTTTTCTAGTCGCGGGGAGATATTCTCGACCTCATTATTTCGTAGCCATAATGGGATTGAAAAACTGATAGTAAATATGAATTGTTATAAAAAAAAATACGTAAAAATTCTGATGATTATGTAAAGGTAGAGCAAATTATTGAAGGCGGTTCATTAAACGTAAGTGTATCCGCTAGAAACACTCTCTAGACTGTGCTCATTCGACACAGATCATCACCATGGATGATTGACGGCACCAACCCAATCACACTTGATAGAGAAACCTTGGAAAAGGTGGAAACATGACATACCTGGACAGCATCATTGATGACCTTGGAGGATCTGATTCAGACGTAAAAGCAATGAATGATAAGTAAAGGGAAGCATTCATACAGTTGAAGAACGTATGGAACTCAAAGCAACGGTCAATAAACATCAAAGTGAAAATCTTCAATACGAACGTCAAGACAGTTCTAGTATACGGAGCTGGAACTTGTTAGAAAACAAAACTGTTTTCAACTGAAGAGGAAATCAGAGAAAGATATTGGAAGTGGATAGGACATTCTTCAAGAAAATCATCAAACTGCTTCACGAAGTAAGCGCTAACTCAAAATCCTGAAGATAGTAGGCAAATAGGCTGTAGGACACATTTTGACGGGAAATGGGAGCAGACACAATAAACAAGTGTAAAGAATTGTCGAGGAGATTGGATGGCGAATGCTGGTGGGCGATCAATGCTACTTCACTATTGGTAACAAGCGTGAGCAAGTAAGTAGCTTAGCGTACTACGTCGATAAAAAGTCAGGTGTCTTGGCACACTATGATCCAAAGTCTTACGCTAACTTCATCAAGAATGGCCTTTGAGCAAACCCTGCACTCACCAAGTTGAAGCGCATTTTCGGCTAGTTTGACGGGAGAGCTTTTCAACTAATCTTGAATGGTTTTATTCCACCACACACAGAGTATATAGTGTTTTCGGTGAGACTATAATTTATGGACGACCTTTGAGCTAGGCTAGGCTGGCCTTGAGTGTCCACCTAACATCTATGACAAAATGAAGGTTCTAAACCTGTGTGCGGAATTAGAATTATGTTTTACAGTTGATGATTAACGCTAGGAATTAGATTTTGGGTTTCCATCACGAACTGACACCAGCTATAATGCCAAAACTATTTAACCAAATTGGATGAGTGAATTTCGCGCCAATATCCGAGGCCTATTATTATATACTTTATTGGTTCGTTCATAAACTATAATCTCGCCCTCAAATCACTGAATCTACATCATCTGGAGTATATGCGCTTCAGAAGTGACCTTCCAGTAACTTATAGGATCCGCAATATTTTTTGGTATCTCTTTAGATACCTACTTAAGCTCAGTCCCAACACAAACCTTGAGGGTAACATCCAGAAATTAAGGACAGAACATGGCAGAAAGGACCGTAGGTACACCTCTTACTCTTTACGCGCAGTCAAATTCTGAAAATCGTTGCCTGGTGAGGTGGCGCAAGCAAATTTGTAAGAGCTCTTTAAGAGAAAAGTTTATATATTTTTAAACATTTAGGACATTATCTCAAAATCATTTACTTATTTTCTCTCTTTTCGCTGTTGATACAGGTCTATACATAGGAGCACCGGTGATGAACTGCTACTGAGTGTGGAAGCCCATGGAGCGAAGGCCGCCTCTATTCCGTTCAAAAACATTCGAAATATTTGTATTGGACATAGAAAAACACTGCGGGAAGTAGAATGAGTACTTTACATTGTATTTTTCGTTAACATCGAGGAACCCGACTTTCTCTCTAATATCAATCTCGTTTTTTTACTTTCGCCAGTCTTTATAAAGTAAGGCATTTTAAGCTACGTTGCGCGTCATATGTTTTTATCCTTATATGGTGTGTGACATAACACTCATTAAATTATAATAATGTAAGTTTGAATTAATGGGTAGTATACTGACGACCTCATTAAAATTTGAACATTTAAGGTGATAAGGCTGTCAATGTTTCAAAGAAAATAGTGTTGATGGATTTTTAATGTGATATGCATTTGGAAAAGCATAAGTATACTTTTCCAAACAGATTTGAAAAAGCTTTTTGAAATCTGTTTTCTTAGAAAGAAATAGAGTTAATTTTGATGCTATCGGTAGTCAATCCACTTAGTTTGCATTCAGCGGACCTCATTCGAGTTCTGTTTCACCTACTTTGTTTTGTGCTGTGTGGTGGTACCATTAATTAATGAAACTACCCCACAGCGGTTATAACTGTTCCCAAATAGTGTGACTCATGTCCGAGCTTATAAATATGCATTTGCGTGTTGAGACAAAGAGCGGCTTCTCTTATATCAGATTATCAGGTTGCGTCGTCACCTACACTTGACTGTCACCCCATGAAACTTTTTTGAAGTGGATGATAAGATGTACTTGCTTAACATCATCTCTAAAAGTTTATAATATGACTAATACTTAGTTATATTCACGAAGATAAGCAACTTAAACTAATCCATACGTCACCGTTCTTATATGAATTTAAAGCATCTGAATACTATTTCTTCGGAAATAAGTTTCAGTATTAATAGACATTCAGTTTTTATTCTATTTATTATCAGTCAGTCAGCTGCAACGTAGGACCAGGCACATATATGCATCGGCCCAAGTTGTTATACCTCATTAGCACAACAAGATGAACACCGTATTCATAGAAGTAGTTAATTCAGTGGCAGTAATATATAAAAGGATGATTTCATACAAGGATATGATACAGAGAGGAAGAATTATTCAGTAGAAAGAAAGATATAAAGCAATTTTAATCTCATCGTTTAAGGGGTAGACAAAGAGTGTATACACCTACGTCATTGTGATAGATTCTGAGCCATGTCACCAAAAGTCTCCAACTATTGGTTATGATAGTCACGCGGACCTAAACCAAGTAGTCTGTATCTACCAACATGGCTAAGACCAGAAGTTAGTGACTACAAGCATTGATGCCACGTTTTGGTTTGTCCGCCCCTAACTTTCTTCCAACCATGCTCAACACCGATTAACATTGCACGTCGTGGTAATCGGTGTTCAGGCATATACAACACATGGCCCAACCATCTCAGTCGATGAAGATTGACAACCTTATCAACTGATTTACCATCATTCCCTAATACCCAAGATAAGTGAAGTTGTAAATACGTTCGACCACTTCACTCCCTACTCTTAGTTCAGGTGTTGACGCAGACAAGTCCTGTAGCAACAACTTGCATTTAGAGGGAGAGAAGCGCATCCCAAATACCTTTGTTGCTCAGTGCTAACAAAAGACTTTGCATTTTGTTAGCGTCTTCACCAAACAGGACTATATCATCTGCGTATTCTAAATCGATAAGTGGACCTCCTATAAGGAGATCAATGCCCGAGAATTCAGTCGATGAGAGCGTTATTTCCATCAGTAGATCTATGATGAAGTTAAATAAAAAAGGAGAAAGTGGACAGCCTTGATGGACTCCACTTGAGGTTGCAAAAGCAGATGGCAGTTCACCATAAGCTCTGACTCGACTAGTAGTGTTCGAGTAAAGATACACGAAGGGTGTATCTCGTCGGCTCACCGTCTTTCCGAGGTGAGGTCAAGTGAATGACCACTCTAGGATCCTTTATGCGTGTTTCAGAGACACAGCATACATCAATGGTACGAGATTCTAAGGTTTTAGCCAAGAAAGCCTGCTGACCGATTTGACACAGTGTGTGTACGTCGAAGGCTCCAATGTGTAGTTTGTAGTGAGGTTTCAGTAGACCTGGGACAGTGTTTTGCGCACTAGAATTGTTGGCTATCGTGACATTTGAGGAGGAAACCAAAAGAGGAAGTTTAGTGTAGAAAGTCGATCTAGGAAGAATAATAGGAATTGAAGAGGGATTATTTTATTATTTTGTTTTAACAGGTAGATATTGGTACAAGAAGGCACCAAATATGTATGCGCCACACAGATATCAATTGATATATGTGAGGGCTGTGATACTGCACGGGTGCTCAAACCGAAGCAGGTGGTTTCCTTAGGAAACCACACCATGAGCCTTTGACCTGAAGATCTGATCCACAAGGCAGTGGAGCATCGTAAGGAGATACAGTCCCACGATAGTCGGTGACCAACGATTGGTTCATACGCCATTTGTTCCTTCAGGATACTGGAGCCCATGTGCACCATTGGTTTGGATCCGGTTAAAGCGCCGGACATTCGCCTTTCGTCCTCTCATTTTCGGTTATCACTCCCCGGTTGCCCATACCGTGGAAGGGTTCTTCTGGAGGTACCTGGAAAGGAAATTGGATTAGAGGTGGTCATAGTGACCTGAGAGCGTGACCGCAGTGCCCAAGGGACAGTTGCTTGAGGTCGGTCACACACGACCTTTTTATGAGTAGTTTTTGTGTTAGCTCCGTACTTGTTGAGACCTTACCGCCGGAGACGGATATCCGTGGGATAAGGCGAGGTGTGCATTTTTTGGGTCGACATTTTCTAACCCCACTACTTCTTGTAGGAAGGCAGCATCGCTGTTATGCTGGTTGTCTGAAAGAAACATCTTACTGCTGTCACACCTCTGTACAGTGAGCAGTACGACTTCGCCTTCGGACCTTAGATTTGTAGCTTTTGGTCTTACTGCTCTTGAACCGACCTGCCTGATATGGTGGGACCTTGAGGAACGGTCGTTCCAGCCAGTATAGCTCAGTTGCTTCATCACGATAGGCAAGCTCGACCACCACATCAAGGTAGCAACAACGGCGGGGATTCTGTTTATTATATGATTACATGTACTCCCTTCTGCTGTGCCTGTGATGTTTCCCCACAACAGGAGATTACAAACTATGTCCGCTTAACTAGCTGGTAAAAAACACGAGATAAATCCAGATTTACTCTACATAAGAAGAAATACAGACTTCTAAAATCCTACAGCTCATGAGAATAATGGCTGTGTATGCTTCAGATTGATACGCTTGTTCACTAAGCTAATTATATTCAACCTCAATTTCATTATGATAAGTGAGACTTCCTGTTCTTTCTTTCTGCCAGTTAGATAGGGTTTTTATATAGATTTTTTAATAAAAACTGAAGAAATTCAGTTGTATCCGAATTTCTCGAATTATATATCGATCATAACAACTCATCAGTTCTCACTGAACACAAAATCACAGTAAGTTAACCAATACGAACGAAAACACATCAAACAAAATGTATACAGAATTAAATAGCACAACTGGAAATACACTAAAAATCAATTAAATAATTCATTTCGAGTAATTAATCACAGTATTGTGTTAAGTTAGTTGGTCAATAACCACCTTAGATTGATATGCAAATTTTTATAGACTGATTTTGTTTCTTCAATGTACTTGGAGGCGTTATATCCTCAACACATGACTAACATCAAACGAATTTTTCCAGTATCACTGTGATCACAGCCAAAAATAAACCATAATCTCAGCTACAAAATGGTCTTGAAACCACCATCACAAGTTCACTTAATAGACTTTTCGTAAAAGAGTACATTAAGCATCACATATATGTTTCTAAAGAAAGTTAATTCTACCTAATTTTGGTTGTTTGAACATTTAAACTCTAAATACAGTTACATCAATTGATGATATTTTCCAGTAATTAACTATTATGTCCATCGACAGAATTCCTCATTCTATTTTTGTCATTAACGCATTATGTTATTGTGAAACTAATACTTTCAGTGCTCTGAAATTGGTCGGAATATCTGCTATATTCTAGGATTTATCACTACCAACATATTCTAATGTCTCACAAAAAACACAAGCAAAAAAGAAAGCATAAGAAATCAAGCACTGATGATTCTGTAGGTTCTTGTGAAACATATTCAATCATTAATTTAGTCATCAGAGAGTGATTATGAATGGAAACAAGATGATCAAAGTCTACAAGAAAAATCTACTAAAAAAGGTGACGTACAGGTAAGTTGAGACATATTTAATTAATCGTTTGTATTATAGGAAAATAATTGGATCACTGATGTTAAATCTCTGGACTGCTTTTTTGATACATTTAGTTCAAAGCCAAATGGGAATAAAGCAACGAAAAATAGTCAGAGTAATAGCTACAAAATGAATGAGCTTAATCCTTACTTGAAAGATGGGGGGAGTGGTTTGCCAAATAGTGAAACTTCTTCAAAATCTGTTTTGACAGACGATAATCAATCATGGCTGTACAAGTCATTCATTCGTTGTGTTGACACATCTAAGGAGACGGGTGTTAGTTTAAGAAATGTATTGCTTCAGCGTTGGGACGAAGATACTGTGAATGATATGTTGAATAGATTCGGAGATAGACATGGAAATAACAAATGGTAATTAATTATTCTTAATCATATTTTATTTCACTATGAATTTTGCCTTTATTTTCATGTTCACTCTTATGGGTTATTTGTGTCTTCCATCTAAGACGTATGAAGTTTTACTAACTTGGTTTTATTGAGGAATGCAAAACAGGATAAGAAATAACCGCAGCAATTACAAGCTGAGTAACAATTCATAAAACCTTCAAGCTTTACTTTATTCAGTGTTGTGAATATTAACTAGGCGTCCACCTCTTATTTTACGATGCTAGCTCGCATAGTAACCATCTTGGTTTTTATATATGATTGTAGAATAAAATAAAATTTATTGTATTCTAAGATCACAATTTCACAGCATAGTACTAGACTAATAAAACTAGTTACTAGGGTAGTCTCATCATAATATGTCTTTGTATAGGTGTCTCGGCTTCACCAAGTTTCTCACTAACATACTATTTAATGAATATTTGACCTGAGTTGTGCTACCAAGTTTTTTCTTCTAACTGCATTTATTTAAGTGTTACTTATATTCACCTTTTTCTTTGATGTTACTCGGACCAGTAGGGCAAAAAATTAAGGTTAACGTATTTATAAAGCTCTTAACTCTATATAAGTCATGCAACTGAATTAATCAACCTATATTAGTGAATGTCTTTAGACTCAAGTTTTATTGCGTATACCAATACTTGGTAAAATATTGGTATTTCTGACTAATGAGCTTGGTACTAAAGCAAAACTAATATTAAATTTCTTAAGAATTCCAAGCTCAACACCCTTATAAGTCTTATCTTATTCTGGTTAAAACATAAACCTCATGACAGTTTAGCTGTTAATTCATAAAACGACACTATATCTCTCGGTTTTAGGCAGTAAATCAGTATCAATAGCCCTCATACAACGAAAGAAAAACTCAAAGCTAACTGTATAACCCTGCACTTGGAAAATAAATATGGATTAATTATCTTTTAGATTAATACTTAATTATTATGAAGATGGATTATAGGATTGTAAGTTACTGACGACATTGTTAAAGAATAAATACGTCCACTTATTATCCACGTACAGGTTCATATATATCAGGCTATGGACCCTACTTACTAATGTCGAAAGCTATCAGTAATATCTATTTACCACAAACCAACGTTAGTTGCAAAACGATCAGAAGCAAATAATTCTTCTGAATTCTAAAGTTCTATCTATACCAGCCTGTCAGAATCAACAGGAATATTCGTAGCAAAGTTTGAGGAATATAATTAATTCTCCGGTTACTCGTAAAACTGATAATTCTAGTTATCATTGATTTGTTGTTAAATATAAGTTCATCTGAAATGGCAGAGATTTGCACTTCAAGTAGATGCTTTGACATGAAATAGGTGCTGAAAATGTCCAGAATGACAATGAAGGCTCCTCAATTAGATCATCTAGCTTAGAAAACTCGATAACATTATAAGAATTTATATCTATTTTTTAGGAGTATATCTACGTTATCGTAACAGGTTTTTTAATATGTGACACTGATCTTCATTTCTTTGCTCTCAATACTTTCTCAGTTCCACAACGCAGTTTAATTCTAACACATTGGACATGAAACCACGTTGGCGTAAATGTCAGACTACTAATCCTACTACTGATAACAAATCATTGTCTCATTTACATTCAAAAAGAGTTTATTCGCCCGAAAATACTGGTATGCTTAATATTACTTTTCTGTCTAATAGCACTTGATTAGTTTGTTCATTTTTTTTGTTATTTATATGTATTTCTATCGATTTTCTTTTACTTTGGGGAGAGTTGTATAAGATATGAAAGCTATATCACCGATGTCGTATTAGTTCAGGATCATCACCCTTTATCACATTTTTTTACTATTGATGTTAAAAGTGTAAACCTAGTATCTTCTGATTTGGTAATCTAAAGACTGATATGCTTACCTTGACATTTGAATTCCAACACTTTTGAGGGCGACGTAGGTGCACGTTACTGAAGAGTCCCAAACAAAAATAGAACAGGTATTCCTTACCCGTCCTAGTTTTTAAAGCTTCTCTAATTACTACTGTCAATTAGTCATAGAACTATGTTGAGCTGTATCATGGTTGTATATTTATTTGTTTATACTCTTCAATTATAAAAAACTAAATTGAAGAAAAATCACTTTAGTATCCAGTATCTTACTAATATTGCCAGAAAATTTTATTAAATAGAACGTTTGCAAAGAGAATTAAATAAAATAATTACTTTTGTATGATATTTAGTCGTTCCCATCAATTATAATTTTTAAGTGCGCAGTGAAGAGTTATACCATTGGTTTTATCTCTTAGTTTTCGAAAATGAATTGTTTAAAGTCAAACACGTCTTTCTGTCTTTGGTGGCTGATCATCATACTGTTTTCATAAGAGACCCCCTTTTTAGTGGCCATACTAGGTGGGTATTACCCACCCATTGAAATTTTATGTGATTACCAGGTAATTAATTAGTTGTTACAAAAAGAATCAAGTAACTATGTCATGTCATCATATACTTTCAAGATTAATGGCAGTTAAGCTACAGATTATTAGGATAGAGGTTCTAAATGATTGTTGTATCAATATGTTTTTGATATTTTTTAGTGAACGGTATATGTATGTGTTTAGTGTGTAAAGCGTCGATTTTTGAAAGAGTTTCTAAGTGGTAATGCAGACCGGTGACGTCAATATGTTGTATTAATCATTGTAATACATCGTGTAGCACATATATTTGCGTACTTGGCTGATAATTTTGCTCTACTGAATTCTTGTATTTCAACTACTCGGCTCTTATCGTTCATTTAGATCTATTCTTCAGTTTTAGCTTCAGGGGTCAGATGATGGAAAAAGGTATTCGGCTCAGAAGAAGAATTTTTGTGATGTTTTATCCTCTAAGCTTAATGGTTTGGTCGTGAAATTTTCATTGCCTTTCTAGACAACATCGTCAACACGTGCTTCCAAAAGAAAAAAAGCTATTAGGACGTCGACGGTTGAGCAGCAGCTTGTCATACTGACATGGTGTTCAGTTGTTGTCCATATGATATTATGAGTGTTTGCACATTTTCTTTGATTGTTTTCTCCCCTTGCCTGACTTCTGACCTTAAAGCTGTTTATGAAACCAAGAGGGATGATCAAAACAAGTGTACAAACATCGAAAATATGTACATGGATACCCATCAAATCCCATGTTAACAGAATAAACTGTTGGTCAACTTTGGAATTCCTAATGGCTTACTTCTTTTTGAAGCACGTGTTGATCATGTTGTCTAGAAAGGCAATGAAATTTTCATGATTAAACCTTTTAGCTCAGAAAACACACCTTCGAAAACGGTAGAATTATTAGAGCTATCAGGTAGTATTACTAATTTCTTCAGTTATTTCTATGTCTCTACAATAAAGGGATATGATATCTCACATTTTATATTGCTTTGTGTTTATTTCATAGTTGATCGTCGTAAAGAAAATCAAGTGTTCAATTAACTCTTAGTTTCTGAATATTAACTGTCAAAAATAAATTATACATATACTTCATTGAGTCAACTATGACCTGTTCGTCATGAGATGTGAACGCAGTATTGCATATATGGCTGAGCGTACATACAATTAAGATTTAAAAGAAAACAATCATCTAATTCTCTGTTGTTTCAATAATCGTTCTCTAGTTGATATCAGTTCGTGAGAAGAGCTATTTTTAGTTAATAAACCATAATATAACATTTGCAAGAGTTTGTATTTTTCCATCGTATATGTTGCGAAACAAGTTATTTGGATTCAGTTGCTTAGTAAATAAAGCGTTGTTAATGTCTGAAGTGATAAGTGCCGTGTTAAACATCAGCATTGTGATTTATGTGCATCTCACTAATAAATTCAAAATAGACCCAGACTCACATCCTAGGTAGCCACAATCCCGCTTTACATACCATACTTTGTACATAACTATTCCTCACTGTGCCGGCTCAGCATAACAACTTTAACGGATTCGCATGTAAGCCAGGTTCTACGTTGTGCATGACTGACTGACTGAAATGATTATTCTTATTTTGTAATCGTCTTACAAGTTACATCTTACATTGTTTAATAATTGATTAACATCTTGTGACTCGTAGAATCATTATCAAAGCAAAAAGAATTAATCACGGAATCAGAAAATTCTATAAATGATTGTCAAAGAACATTTGAAGAACGTTTAGTTACAAATGATGACATAAATTCAATCGCCGCAAAGGTGATGCGAGCAGAATTGGAGTCGAATCATGTAAGAGATTATTTATGGGGTAAAATGTTGTTTCATACTATTTACACTGCAAGATTTGCAGTTTTTGTTTGTTTGATGAATGTAAATTTTTTGTCTAAACACTTTGATACGTAGTCATTAGTTTAATCTTTCTCTTACTTTTAGAACGACGGCTTACTGTTTGTAGCACTTGTTTTTCAGCCGACATTAAACTAACCAAACATAGCATCAGTTATTACTAAGTAATCCCCTAGTCAAAAAATGCTACATTAGAGGTTACTTGCCCCATACTTACTATTTTAACCTTTCTTATCTGATTAAAAAAACTTTGTTATTGGAAATAATGCATCTCAAATTTCAATTTCCGTTGGAGAATCTTATATAGTGAGATTCAAACCTCAGTACAAAAACTCTGTGATAAATAAATCTGGTTAATATTACCGTCTATATTTATCAGTAAGTATAATGGATCCATTATTTCACACAGCCCATTAGCTATGCGATGTATGTGAAAATGATTCAACTTAATCGATGTACAACCAACAAATTTTCAACCGTTTTTATTAAGTCTACATAATTTAAAGAGAAATATTAATACTTTCTTAGTTTTTAATTGTTTCTGCAAAAGACAATATTAATGTTTAATCCTAGTTTACAATTGACTTGGGGATATTTTGGTCAAAATTATATATTTAAAGATGAAAAGGAAATAAAAGATCACATGAATTTATGATTTCAGGCAGTATAGTAACAAAATTGTAAAACTGAAAATATGAGGTTTCTGGTGATATTTCCTTCAGAAAACATCAAGTCCATTACTGAATATGAACTCACTTTAGTTCATATGTTGTTCATTATCATAGATAACAGTATCTCTTCTTTTCAGAAAAAAAAGTGGTTTTTATATCGTTTGTTTATATTTTTAAAATATATTTTGTTATAAATAGGTGAAAGTAAAAAAATTAAAAGCAAATTTAGAGAAATTACGTGAAGCTATGCGTCGTGGTATTAAAGTACGAATTCATACTGTACAAAAGAATAAAACAATCCATAATCAGTCAGGAGATAATCAGTCTAAAATAATTGCATTAACACGTTTAAATGATCAAGGTATTGAAATACCAGTACATATACGTAATCTTCCAGGAACTTCACGTACCAATGATAAAAAGTATGCTTTTTTTTAGGTGTTTCCTTTATTTGCAATTTATTCATACATTTGAAGGAAATTGTGTGCTATGACTTTTTACACCAACTTCTTGACGTTCAACTATTTGACTAAAAAGAATCCAAATTCATTTTACTCTTTTTATGTAAATAATGGATATTGATAACTCTTGAAAACCGAAGAATCTTTGTAGAATAATCCAGAGTGGAGCAGCTGATAATATATATCGTAAATGAGGTCGTATCATTATCATCGATCTCTAACTTTCTTACTCTAATTCTTCACTCACTCACACATTGTGTCTATGTAGAATGTTTTGATTGTAAGTGGAACTCTTACTGATCTCAACTGTATCTGCTAGTTTGACGCGATTGTTACTCTTGGCTATCATGAAAACTCAACCAAGCTATATTAAATGAATCGTTCCTTTCTAGAGGTTCCACTATGTCAAGTGTGTTGGTCGAATAGCTGTAGAACTAGGAACAATAAGCTTATGATTTGAAGTCTAAATCGTACTGCCTACTATCCTGGAATGCTTTATTCATTTATTTGAATACATAAATATTGGTACAAAGGAGCACCAAAACATATGTGCCACACAAGTCACTTGATTTGTGTGTACGCTGTAACACTGCCCGGGTGCCCAAACCGAAGCAGATGGTTTTCCTAGGGGGCCTTACCTGGAGCCTTCGACTTGAAGGTCTAATCCACAAGGCAGTGGAGCAACGTCAGAAGATGCAGTCCCATGGTAGCCTGTGACCAACAGTTTGTTCATAGTTCATTTGTTTCTTCTTTGTACTGGAGCCCATGTGCACCATTGATTGGGAATCAGGGTTTTCCAACTCCCCTGGGTGGACTCTCCGTGTCCACCAACCGTGTTGAAGCGCCGGACATTCGCTTTTCGTTCTCTCAATTTTTTAGACAACACCCGTACCGCGAGATTGCAATGAGTGGGGCTTCCCTGGCAGTGGCTGCCCTGGAATGTGATAACAGTAAGGTGTTCCTTGCTGATAACCAACATCTCTAATGATACTTCCTTGTCATAAAGAAAAAGGGTTAAACAGTCAACGATGTACATCTCGTTAGTTTATTCTTAGTGTGCTGATGTGGGCTGGCAATTTAAACTAATTTGCATCTGTGTCAGATTTTGCGTTGGGTGTGATCGACTGGCTGATTCATGCAGATGGATGTATATTCTTACAACCCGGAAACTTTTCCCACTCAACTGTAGAAAATATCAAGCATCCAAAATAAATGTTCAGAATGTGTGTGTTTGTGCATATATTGCAACACACTACATGATGTTCTTCATTAGTAATAGCTATTTCAAAACGCATTTGTTCCTACAAACACATTACATCTATTTAATGTTATATTATTGAAATCATGCAATTTCTGATCGCAACTTTTGATTGATTGATATCACTTTCCAGCTTACAACGTTTTAAATCTCATGACTCAACTGGACAACGGATAGCCTTCTTCCCAGAAGATAATGAAAACCAACAAGTTGCTGATATGATACGTGATGAACGTTTACATTCAGCAAGTGATATGGATTTGGAATTTTCAAGACTTGCTAGAAAGGTGAAATGTTCTTGTTGTCAACTTTATTCTGTAAACAAAGTTACATATAATGTCTATATATATTGAATGAGGGAAACGTTCATTTAATACGCAAACTTAGCTAGTTACTAAGATTGTTAACAATTATGGTCCGCAATTGTTTAATCGATAAGTCAGATCATGCTTCCTGTTAATCGTACAGCTTTATATTATTGATCTCTTTCGAGGCAGAACTGCTGGTATAATATAGAGATCATAAAACGCGAAGCGATTATATGATTGACAAACCTGACTTCCGAAGACTTCCACAGATGTTTTAAAAAACAGAAACAGAAGTTGGATAATTGTAATAAATATAGATGAAAAGTATTTTACAGACGTATAAGATTAATGTAATCTATTGAACTTCGGTTTAGACAGAGTGATAGTACTAGTTATTAGTCATGCACACTACTAACCGTGTATACAGACCTATAATTTGGTACAAATAAGTTATATTCGACACATAATTAAAAGCAAAGTACTCAAATCACTGAAGCCAATATCTGTCTTAACTGCTATACTGTTATGTTAATTTCTATTTTGTTTGTGTATTTATCTCTTATAATTATAAGCTCTTACACGGTATTTAAATGTATACATTTTTAGAGTGTAGAAGATGAATACACTGATGCTTTTGTGAAAAAACGAGTAAATGCTGAAAAAGAAGCTATTAAATGTAAACAGGATGCTGTATCATGTAGGTTTACCGATTAGACCGTGGAGTTGTGTGTATACTTATTTTGTCATTTATTTTCAATCTGTAGTATAAACGTGACCTTTTCTTCGATTAAACGAGTTCTAATTTTTATAAAAGATCCGTTCTCATTACTGTTTATATTCTAATAGCTGTTTCTAAATAAAGTATCTCTTTTCATAAATGAGACATAATGATCAAAACAAGGGAAGTGAGTTTTGAATCTGCAACTCAGTGAATCCTTAAAACAAACAGTTTAGTTAAGACTCTTTAAGGTTAGTAAATTTTGATTCATTTTTCTCAGAATATAAACATTTTGAAATCTAATAATATTAAAATAGAAATTCGCTAACGATTATTTCGTAGGTGTACAGCAAATAGTTTGTACGATTGTAATTTATTTTGTATACTGATCTTGTGAAGCATTTATTTTAATATCTATAGAGCAACAAAATGTTGAGTAGTCGAAAAAGGTAATCTCATTGCATTAATAAACTATGGTGAAATAATTGAATTAGTTGTTTCCTGTAAATATCGGCGACCTACTTGAACATCTGGGCTACCTGTTCCTGTCATCTAGATATTTCAACAAGTTATCTGTTTTTATTTGTTTTCACACACCATTATGTCTATAAATCGCACAACCTGTTCAAGCGCGTTTATGGAAAGTTTACGATTTTTCGCTGTACAAGTTACAAAAAAGCTCACTCAGCGACATTGTGGTTGCTGGTAATATACATTGGAAAGAATGAACATTATTCAGATGCCGATTCTTGAACTGCTAACATCTAACTGGCGATCAGTCAATATTTATTGTCAGAATCGATCAAGAAATAAGGAAAAGAATCTTGTCGAAATACTTTGTGATGAGAATTCTATATTGTACAAAGAATATGATATTGAAGGAAGCCATTAATAATAATAAAATTTAATAGTCAGTAAATATTAATCACTTAATTTTAACGTAGTGTCTAAATATTAATCTGGTTTCCAAAAAGAACTTTAAGATTCTATTTAAAACAATCCCTTTGATAAGTTTGTTATATAATAAAAAGACGAAGATTATCAGAACTTCGTCTTTTCATTACACTATCTTAAAGATTCAATGGTCAATTTCGTATCCAGTTAATTGTACATTTACCGTTCAACAAGTTTCTAACTATGAGGTGCTTTATCGATCCCTTGTTTCTGGTAAAGTTCTTACATGTATGGCGTTGTTTTAATCAATGAAAAATCTCATAAAATACTATAAAAGCAACGATAAACATTATTTTTCTCCACCTTTAAAGTTTTGTTTAATACAATATACATCGATTGGGTTTATAAGCGAATTCCTAGTTTACAAATAACTTTCATCATGAACTGACATTACCTAGATAGTCATTTAATTAAACTAAAGCACATTTTACAGTTGTTTCATTCAAGCTTAAGACTCAATACCATACATTAGAGTTGTTATATAAGACCCCCTGACTGATTCTAGAATTGATTGACGTTCTACTTACTTATTCAAAAGGTAAATTATTTTTAAACATTCTCAGTTCCATTTACAACTTAGGTTCCGTTGTGTACAGTTTGAAGATAGTCTAAATATTAATAATTTTCACTGGTCATTTAACTGTTATTCACGTGTAATTAAATCACTTTTAAACTAAGAAACCTTGTTAAAAAAAACTTTTTAAACATCTTGAGTATTATATCTAGCTAGTAATTCTTTAATGTCATGTATATTTTAAGTTTCTGCTTTATTCTAGTTTATTCTTTATTTCTTTCTCTCTCTCTATAGCTTATAAGAGAAGATTATTTGCTGAGTCAAAATGTTTGACTTGTCTAGAACGTGTTCCTAAATATTTAATTGTTAGTCTTGGTGAAAAGGTATACTAATGTTTGATTTTCACTACTATTATGCCGTGAATTTTCTTCATAATAGTTTTAACTATTCCATTATTGATATTCAAGATTGAATTTTAACCAGTCTTTGCATGTACCGTTACGTTGTAAGCAAATGTTTCGATATAGTTTCTTTTCTACAAGTAGGTTAGTGGATAATGTGTTGATATTTTAAGCGATTGGTATTGAATTCGAGTATCGATGTGAACGACATAGTGATGCAGGTACATCCATATGCTGATTTTCAGGTATAACGAAACGCCTGTTCCACAATCCAAAATATATTAAAACTTGTCAATAATTTTTGTTCCCATCAAGGAGACGGTCAGTTTGGTATTGGAAACACTAGTATCGACTGTTGAAATTGGGTAAAAACTTGATTATATTGGGAATTAACGTAGAATAGAAACTTCAAACTACTAGAATGATTAAATAGTTAAAGGTTATACTTTTTATGGAACCTAAAATTTATGGACTCGATCCCAAAATCTATATTGGGTAATCTTAAAATAAAAATCACTTGTTTAATACCCTCTCCAGTTGTTATATTTTCGCTCTTACGGTAATAACCCAGCTATTCCTATTGCTTAGTATTCACGGTCACAGATTCACTCGACAAGGCCCCAAATCAGAACACGATTGAGCAGGAAGGAGATTATATTCCAAATAACAAGGTTAGGTGGAAGCAAGAAGCAAGAAGCAAAATAGGAAAACCGTTAGTATATTTATAGCTTTTTACATAAGAAGAATCTAGAAGCTTCTCCATGTATAGACTGGCGCTGATTGGATAAGAATCAGCCAATCAGCGTGCGCCAAAGCAATCGTGCATTGAGCATGCTTTAATCCAATCTATGTCCCACTAACACCTCCCCTTTGAGCAGATTCGTAGGATCTGGTGCTAGGGTCCAACTGCAACCGAGTGACTGGCCTGTGCTTTCGATTTGTCCATCGTCTAGGCAATAAAGAAGTATCACTCTTTGCTTGCACAGAAACTGACCTGTCTGTTCCAGGCGTTTTGATTTCAAAGGTGTCTAGTAGAACATCAAGAGGTAATCGATATTGAATCTCGTTGCTGGCTATCGAAGTTGCTTTCAATTGGTTAGTATGACGTACCCAAACTTCTGAGCCAACTGACACCTCATAAATCACACTCCCCTTCTTTTTTAAGATCCGACCAGCTGTCCATGTAGGATGTTTCTCACGATAGTCCATAGCAAGTACTTTTTGTCCCACCGTGAACAATCGTTTTTGTGCCCCATGATGTCGATTGAACTGATTCTCCATAGATAGGTTTCGTTGAGGCTCAAGAGCTGGCGTAGGACGGATGACATCGAAATGTGTTCGTATTTTTCTGCCAAGTAGAGCTTCTGCTGGAGAGACCCCCTTAATCGTCTGAGGGTTCGGTGTCGAGCGATAAATAAGCAGGAACCTCTCTAAGATCTCTTCGGTGGTCCCCTCCCCTTTAGATTTTTTTAGAGCATTTTTAAATGTACTCACAAAGCGTTCCACTTGACCATTTGATTGGGGATGGAATCGAGGTGTTCGGACGTGATGGATTCCGTTCTGCCGACAAAATTGTGAGAAAATTACGGACGTAAACTGTGTTCCGTTGTCACTAACTATCAATTCCGGGACTCCGAAACGACTGAATAGTTGACGTAGCTTACTGACTGTGCAGCTTGCAGTCGGGTGTTCCATGAGAAAGATTTCTGGCCACTTGCTATATGCATCAACTACCAAAAGGTAAGTTTGTCCATGAAGTGGACCAGCAAAGTCCAAGTGTATACGCTGCCACGGTGACTGTGGTATTGGCCATGATTGCAGCTCTGCTTTTCTCGGTGCTTTCGTTGCTAATGCACATTTGGTACATGAACGGGATAGCTGCTCCAGTTGAGTGTCTAAATGCGGCCAGTATACATAACTTCGTGCTAATGCTTTCATGCGATTTATTCCAGGATGTCCTGCGTGCAACTGTTCAAGCACTGCTGGTTGTAGCTTCTTTGGGATTATGACACGTTCTGCAAACAGCAGGCAGTCGTCGATGATTGAGAGAGAGAGTCTACGCTGGTAAAACTGTTGAAGCTCTGTGGAACTGATCTTCGCGGGCCATCCTTCCAGGTGGAACTTTCTAACTTCTTGTAGAATCGGGTCTCGAAGAGTTTCTTCTCTGACTTCATCTGACGACACTGGAGTGTTTCGAATGGCATCTGCCACTATACTTCGTATTTCTGGGTCTACTGCTATGGAGGCAATGATTATATCCTCTGGTCCAGGATGCTGAACTCCAATTAATCGAGAGAGAGCGTCGGCTTGACCGATAGTATTTGTCGACTGATACTTGATATTGAAATCATAACTCAGCAGCATTGTTGCCCAGCGCTGTAGTCTATTAGCCGTATAGACAGGGATTCCTTTCTTAGAACCAAAGATTGCAATCAAAGGTTTGTGATCTGTCAGTAGAGTAAATGTACGACCATAGAGCATTTTATGAAATCTTTTGACAGCGAAAATGATCGCAAGAGCTTCCTTTTCAATTTGACTGTAGTTCCGCTCGGCTGGGGTAAGTGATCTAGCAGCATGGGCAATTGTCTTTTCTGATTTGTCCGGAAACACGTGAGATATTACTGCTCCAACTCCATGACTAGATGCATCAGATGCAACAACAATTTCCAAGCTGGGATCGAAGTGTGTCAAAAGAATCTTTGAGCTGAGCATTGATTTGACTCTGTCGAAAGATGCTTGACATTCTGCTGACCACTGCCAAGGTTTATCTTTTGATAGTAATTCATTCAGCGGACCTCTCACTCGATGCATTTCAGGCAAGAATGTGCTATAGTGACTGATTAACCCCAAGAAGGATCTTAATGAAGAGACATCAGTTGGTGCAGGCATCTTCTGAATGGCTTCGATGTTGGCAGGGTCTGGTCGGCGACCGTTCTTATCTAAGATAAAACCAAGGTATTTGATGGAATGCATAAAGAAAGTACACTTTTCCTCACGTAGTTGGAAACCATATTCCAACACTCGGTTAAGGACTTGATGTAGTCGATCAGAAAGTTCATTGTCAGTTGAACCCATAACTATGATATCATCTAGATAAGCTGCTGTACCAGGTATACCTGTTAGCATCGTATCCATTATTTGCTGAAAGATGGCAGGTGCAGTCTTGATGCCAAATGGTAGACGGGTGTATTGAAATAACCCTCGATGAGTGTTAATGGTCAAAAGCTCTCTACTGTCTTCATCTACTTCTACTTGCAGATAGGCATCGGAAAAGTCTATTTTCGCGAAACATGTCCCACCATTAAGTTTGGCAAACAGGTCTTCAGGAACTGGTAATGGATATTGATACACATCTAATGCAGCATTTAAACCGGTCGAGAAATCGGCACATATGCGTATAGTTCCATTCGCCTTCTTAATCACTACGATCGGTGCGGCCCATGCAGAGTAGTTGACTGGTTGAATTACACCAGCCTGTTGCAAGCGATTAAGTTCCTGATCGACTAACTCAAGAGCAGCATATGGTACAGGACGTCTAGAACGAAAAATAGGTTCGGCATCTGGTTTCAGTGGTAAATGAGCTTTCATCTTGGTACAGTGGCCAAGGCTATTCTGAAAAATAGAGGCAAACTTTCTTTTCAGTTTTTCTAGTAACCTTTCACATGTCTTCTTTGCAAGTACTGGGGTGTCTAATGATGAACACAATACGTTGCAGACACTGTTAATCGGTACATCCATTATTCCAAGTTTATCTAACATATCTAGACCAAGAAGATCAAGGTTTGGCCGTTCTGTTAGGTAACATATTCCTGTACAGTTAGTTCCATTGAAGGAAAATTCACACTGTAATTCACCAACCAGTTTTAGCACACCACCTGATGCGTTTTTGGCCGTTTTCTTAGATGGCTTCATTGGCGGTTTACCCAGCAAGTTATACGTTTCTCTAGATACTAAGGTGATATCTGATGCCGTGTCAATTTGAAGACGAGCTGATATGCCGTTTATCTGGATGGTAACATACTTTCTCCGAATGTCATAGTTTGTTTGAAAGGCAGCTACCAGAGAAAGAGATTTAAACTCGGCTGATTTCACATGTCGAGAACGTTTATGCTTCTTTTTGGGATGAGACGTACGATTCGGTGGACAATGACCTTCTTTATGTCCACGTTTGCTGCACACCTGACATATATGCTTTTTAAATGGACAGAATCGTACATAATGCCAATCACCACATAACCAGCATGCAGTCGTTGGTTTATTACGAGTTGTTATCGGCTTCTTAACTTTTAACCTAGTAATAGCATTGACACTACTGCAGGTTAAATTAGGATTTACCTGTTCAATCAACTTGTTGTCGTGTCTGATGCTTTGTAGCCGCTTACACTCATCTGTTAACGTTCTGAGTGTGACGTTTGGGTCTTGATCTAGTCGAGCCAAAAGTCTAGTCCTGATCTCAGCATCTTGTGGTGACTGAAGAGCTTTGATGAATATTAGGCATTTAAATTGGTCTTCTGTCAACGAGCGTAACTTGAACCGTTCACATTCTCTGTTGACGATGTCTGCTAAAACACCATATTCATCGGCTTCGCGTTTCACCAAATTTAGACACTGATGTCGAATACTAAACAATGAGGAGGATTCACCGAATATCTCTGACAATTGAATTATCGTCTCCTCGAAACTGAGCTCTCGAGGTAACTTAGGCAATATATGGTCAGCATAGCGTGCATGTTCATTAATTCCTAACTTACGTACCAACAGTCGAGTCTTCCACGCGTCGTCTTGGTTACAGAATTCTATTCTAAATGTATCTTCCCAACGTTTGAACCACGTGAGAAAAGTATTTCCGCTTTCGGGATCATAGATGAATTCTGGTATGCTGCTAGCAACTGCATCACAAGACGTACTTGAAATGGCATGTGAACTCGAGCAGTGGAAGCTAAGCTGTTGAGTCAGAGTCTCTAACAACCGCATTTGTGCATCTAATTGTTGTTGCTGTTGTTGTAGTATTCGGTTAAGCTGGTCGTCTGATATGGACATATTGAATTTATTTTCCTTTCCCCGTCGCCACTGTTATATTTTCGCTCTTACGGTAATAACCCAGCTATTCCTATTGCTTAGTATTCACGGTCACAGATTCACTCGACAAGGCCCCAAATCAGAACACGATTGAGCAGGAAGGAGATTATATTCCAAATAACAAGGTTAGGTGGAAGCAAGAAGCAAGAAGCAAAATAGGAAAACCGTTAGTATATTTATAGCTTTTTACATAAGAAGAATCTAGAAGCTTCTCCATGTATAGACTGGCGCTGATTGGATAAGAATCAGCCAATCAGCGTGCGCCAAAGCAATCGTGCATTGAGCATGCTTTAATCCAATCTATGTCCCACTAACACCAGTGTTTAGAATTTTTCCTTTTAAATGTCAACATGTTTTTGAAAAACTACCCTCTAATTATTTAATTACTTATTTATTTATTCATTTATTTGTAAAATGATGAAAAAAGAGACATTCGATGTAATCAATAAATTTACCGATAGTCTTTATACTATCTTCACAGTTTGGTGATTTATATGGTTTCATTTTAAAGTTTCATAACATTTTATAACAAAAACGTTTTATTTACTCTGAAGAAGTGGCTTATATTAAGTCACGAAACGTCATCGGGATATAACAAATATATATGTATATCATTAATTTTCTACCCAATACTCAATCTATTTGAAACTATCAAATTCATTCCATTTACTTCAGTCTTGACTATTTTTAGTTTTACTAGCTCTTAATTTATTTGGCTTATTTCCAGTGACATATTTGTGTACTTAGCTTCGAAACAAGTGGGAAGACCAATGATACTATCCGACTGTTCGAACTGTTATAAGCGGAGCATGTTTAAAACCTGCAATCTAGTAACTAAGAGCCGCTACCGCTTAATCGAATATATACCCATCTTTTACACGGTTAATTACTTTATTATATAAAAAAGGAAGTAACTGTAGTGTTCTCTTTTTTTCTTCAGGTGTTCTTGTCTTTGCCGTCACATATTAGTATGACACCAGGTTATTGTTTACTTACACCTTATGAACATATCAGTTCAACTACTCGACTAGATGAAGATGCGATAAAAGAAATTCAACATTTCAAATATCAATTAACTGTAATGTTTGAAGAGCAGTACAGTAAATCAGGTTGTGTTTTCATTGAAACTGCTAGTAAATCGGATACTATTCGTCATCACATACAAGTGGAGTGTATTCCGGTTCCCAAAAAATTATACAACTCACTACCTGCTTACTTTAAGGTAATTTATATGTATATAATTTTTAGATATTGTTCACAATTGATTGTCTGAAGGATAATCTTGTTCATTGAAGACTGAAATTAGTTAGAGTATCGTTGATTACCAGCAGGAAGCATGAGATAGCAATTTTGTTCTCGTTTCGACTTTCTTAACAGTCTGGGTCTACAATATCACACTTGGTCTCCTATGTTATAGTGGGGGGAGGGGTGCTGTCCATGGTTGAGGAATCCTAAAACGAGGACGAGAGAGTCATTTGGTTCTCCAGCTGACTCCAGTTCATAATAATTAAAACAAAACTACTTCCACATACCAATTGTCGGATTTGCAATTTGTTAAGTTATCAATCTAATTATATATGAATAAACTCAGATGACAGACTTTTACTTTACACGGTCAAACTTAAAAATTGAGTCTTATACATGTTTAATGGATTAAGTATCAAATTACTTTCATCTGAACACAATGCATTCTTTACATTAGATTTTCAGTTGTGCCCATTTCGATTTAGGATACGACGAGCATAAGCGTGTTAAGCCTATCTTAGTTGCTTGTCACCATAAATCCTAACCATGTAGCTAATTTCTCACACTTCAACTAAATACCGATTAAGAATATTGTGTTGGCCTGAACAAATATTTACTGACTGTGATGAATACAGAAAGTAACAAAAAATATCTGATTGCAATTCAATCTGTCTGCATTAGTTCGACAACCCATCGTCCTCTATTTTCTCTTTTTTTAAAAAAAACAAATATTAGTGATTATTTCTAGAATATTATATTTTCACCAATCTGTGATAATTACGCCTATCTAGTTTTGTTTTCCACAAAACGGAACAAAACAACAAAATCGTAAATAAATGTTTGCTTTACTAATTTACACCATTCTTTTGTTGTTATAACAGTAATACTACTTGTTTTATTTGATAGTGTATATTTGATTACAATAAAGAAATTTGCGCACAAAATACGGAATATTACAGCAAAACTCACGTTTTATTAAGTATTTCATCTGTGAATATCCAAAAAAATATGTACAAAAATAGTTTTTGGTTGCCATTTTGAGAAAGTGGAGAAGATTTGTAGCTCAGGTGGATGATTTTACTAGAGTTTTGTCTTCTAAGCTCCACCAAAATTAGTTCCCATTCTTTTTCATTCGTAATTGTTTACAACTTAGTTTTTCTACCTCAAGTATATTTGTTTAACCTCCTTTGTACAAGTCAATAGTTATCTGGACACAGTAGCTAAAGCGAAAAATACTTGGTTTTAATTTTGTAGTGAACATCGACACTAGGATCCTGATACATATAGCTGATGAGTTTCGAATCAGATGAAAAACAAGTTCTGAGTCCCACTGCTAGCCTCTATTCAACACCGTTGTCTTATTTCTTGAGTCTTGTAGTAACTAGATTCTCGATAAACTGTAAGTATTTTATGTAGGTGCGTAAATACTCTCTAATAACAAACATATGTAGTTAATTATGACAAACCAAAAACGGGGAAATCTACCGAAAAAATTATGCACATTTAATGACGAAAATCTAAAAGTTTGAACTGGTCGCATATGATGTAAATAATTTATAGGATTGATGACACTCCATCAGATTTGACCGACTGACTGATCTAGATAATAAAAGCTAAAAACATTACTTATGATATTTAATTATTGTCTTTATGTTAGAAAGAATGTTGTGTAGGTTGTACCTATTTGTTATTTGATATCATACAAAATCGATTTAGTCAAAATAATTTTAAACATATATAGCTTACATACAAAATTAAATTTATAGGTCAATGTAAATACCTAAACCTAAAGATTAAAAAATTGTTCCAAATCTAAGTCAACTGACTATTATTGATACACTCTTTTGTTTTATCGCTTGATTAAATGCTATATTAAGATCATGAATCGATGAATGTTAGACCATCATTGAATACCTAGAAACACTGGACGGCCGTTTTGTTTTAGCATGAGACTCCTCAGCAGTGCGCCTCACAGATTCTGCGTGTGAACGCTTAACCTCTAGACCACTGAGCCGAAATTCAACGGTTTTAATGTCTAACTTCAACCAATCGACGAAACTGCGCAATGCTCTAATTGATCGATTACTTTATTTCATCTTTAGGAGATCGGATAATGTTTTCTAACGGAAACCTTGTAGCTCAAAGTCTTTAGTATGTGTATCTGTACTTTGTTTATTTGATTGATAAAACAATCGGACCAGTTCGTTGTGTCAATGCGCTGAGTTGAGTAGTGGAAAGATAATGTTTCCGCATCTATTCAAAACAGGTCAGCCTGTGCTTAGGTGTAATATTCCTAGAGTTGATACATATTTATGTCAAATCTAGTGTTTTCTATGACTAATTGACTTATTGGAAACAACTCAAGAAATAGGTTATTTCTGAAATCATTTTCGTCTTCTAAATTTTACTACAACTAACTTTTTTATATAATACTTAACCCATGTTCAAAGGTAATAAGGGTTCGTTGTATTTCACAGAATAATCTGCAATTCTTTTCGTGATAAGGTTAATAGGTTTAGTCGATTTCGTTTTAAAGTGTCTGTATTAAAAATCGTAGTTTTAGAGTAATTAATTAAAACTATTGTTTGTTGATCTCTGCGACATAAACAGCTGTATGTTTGCTAGTTGTGGTTGACTACTGATAAAACAGGTCTAGAATGAGGCCTGAAAACCAGGTTTTCTTTTCATTGACGAAAAATTCCCTCATGTGTCGCTAATTTATGGGAAGATCTTCAAAGTTGACTTCACAACTGTGAGTACAATCAGAGAAGACATGCTCATGATTTTGCCCAAACTCCATAGGCCCTTCAATAGCACCGTATATTTAATTCTTACTCATGAAAGTTTGAAACAACTTGAAGTAATCTCTATTATTTTTGAAATGACGTCACCATCGAGTCCCAAAACAGTACTCTCGGTAGTAGCACACAGTTTACAGCAAATAGCACATCAGTCATATCCATTTCCGTCATCACTCTCAGTCTAATGGAAGGGTGAGATGATATGTAGACACCACTAAGCGAATACTTATGAAATCCAAAGCGAAGATTTGCTGGTAGATTGTTTCATAAACCGGAAGGTACGAACAAGTTTCGACCCTTTGTTGTTATCAAAACGGCAACTTCCCCCCTTACTGGATCCACGCCTGAAGTCAAAGTATGTGCTATAGATTATCGACCACAGCATTCTATGTAGACTCAGGGTAACCAGTAAAAAGTCAAGGATCTACAATCTATTAGGTGCATCTCCGGAAAAGTATTCCGATCAAACACATTAAGACAACCTGTTGAAACCTTTGACCACTTGATATAGTCCGCTACGTAGTTAAAATCGCCATATCGGGATATTCAATAGTTTATTTTGAAACAGATTGCTACATTGAATGTGTTTATCCTCACCTACGTTCTCTTAGTGGCCTATTTAAATAGCATACTTTTCTGTTTGGTAATTTTGTCTTCTATCCTATTGCATGATGTATGTATCCGGCAACCTACATTCAGTTCAGTCTCTGTTCTATAATATTCTTTAAATTATGAGATTTTTTTTTCTAAAATTATTATTTAGAAAGCCTTAAGCGAAATTGGCTCTGAATGGGATCAAAATCGTCGCCTGATCACATTAAAACCGGGTGGATCTGGCGCGTATGGTGCAATTCCTCCGAAATTTGCTTATTTAGCTGTAGAGTTCGGTACTACAAATGGTGGTTTCGCACGTATTTTAGATGAAGAACACGAAATATCTTCATATTCTGGACGTGTAAGAATTTTCATTTGAGTAAATCGTATTCTCACAATGTGACTAAAATCGGTTTGAATGACCTAAATTTAATTCGATAAATAAATAGCTAAAAAGCGCCAGCTAAAATTGCATATGGCCTACAAAAATATACGACTAGGATAGCATAAAATGTCATTCAACTGTCGAGTCAACACAATGAAAACAGTTATTAAACATCCTCAGATCAAAGGTTAAAAATCTCTATCATCAATAACAATCTTCTATTATTCTAATTTACTTTAATAAATGAGGCGGGTTTCATCATATGAAAATCTTTACAAATCATGTTAACAATGATCTTGAGAATAAGAATATGGAAAATTGCGTTTTGATTGCATAAAGTCAGTTAGTCAGTAGCAACGTGGAACTTCGTACGTACGTACATCAGTTCGAGTTGCCATACCACATTAGCACAGAGATACAATGGTGGATTCAAATCCCGTAGTAGTAGAGGTAGTAATAGTATGAGCAGTAATCGGAAAGATTAGGGTTCGAAGATGTTATTCAAGGAGTATAATACAGTGAAATAAATTTGGAAAGAGAAAAAAGAAAGGGACATGACAAATTCATATTAGAATCTGGGAGAACACAAAGTGTGGATGCACCTGCGCCGTTGTAAACAACTTTGAGACATTTCATTCAGGATCTCTAACCACCGGTTGCTATCATCTCGCGGTCCTCAACCAGATAGTCTACACCTACCAACATGACTCAATCCACTTGTCAGTAACTTCATGGATTTGTGCCATGTTTTGGTCTAGCCGCCCCTAGCTTTCTTCCAACCTACTCCTACACCATCAAACATCGCACGTCGGGGCAGTCGGTAGTTGGGCATACGTAACACGTGTCCCAGTGATCTCAACTGATGAAGTTTCACTACTTCACCAATTGATTTGCCATCCTTACCTAGTACCCGTTCCCTAACAACTGCGTTAGTTACTCGATGGTCCCAGGATATACGAGCAATGTTTCGAAGACACCTATGATCGAATACCAGTAACCTACGAATATCCTCTACTCTTACTGGCCATGTTTCACTGCCATAGAGTAGAACGATTACATAAAAATGCAATGTGACTTCATCATTAAAGTTAGAAATGTCCAGCAAAGGTTAATAATTAATTGATTTTGAAAAAAATCGAAGTGACAAACTGATGGACAGTGGAAATCAACATTTCCTTTTTATGATTGTTTATCAATAACAGTCTTTTATGTAGAACATCCAAAATTAATCTTACTGTAATTAGATTTTTTAATGACATTTTTATGAATTTACACATTAAAATAATAATAATAATATTGTTTGTAAATTAAAAATTGTCTTTGAATGATTTCAATTTGTAATTTCATATCGGTCAATCATAAACAGCAATGTAGAGTTTGACAAAAATAGTTAGTATTAGCATAGATCTTCATATCACAACATTAGAACAAACGGATGGAGCATTAACAAGACGTCAGATTAAATGAGTTGAACTTATTATAGTAAGAATGATAGCGAAGAATTTTGAGCATTAAAAATATGGTTGGTGAAGAGGAAAACTACTAAAACCATCATCAAGAAGGTGCAAGTATTTATAAATAGTTGTCTACGCAAGATACTCAACATCCATTGGCCGGATAACTATCAGCAACAGCCTTCTGCAGGAGAGAACAAACCAGCTAAAGAGGAAATTAGGAAAAAGACCATGGAAATGGATAGGACATACATTACACAAATCATCAAACTGCATCATGAGACAAGCCCTAACTAGGAATCCTGAAGGGAAGCGGAAAAGAGGTAGGCCAAAGAACACATTACGTCGGGAAATAGAAGCAGATATGAAAAGGATGAATAACAACTGGAAAGGATTGCACAGAACAGGGTTGGATGGAGAATGCTGGTGAGCGACCTATTCTCCTTCACAAGAAGTAACAGGCGTAAGTAAGTATGAAGAAATCTTGGAATTTACAATTTCGTTTAAGATAATGAGTAAATGTAACCGGGTTATTGTGATCGATTCTGAGCCAATATCATACAATATTCAAACTAATGTTCACAATAATTCTAAACGTTCTGAATATTAAACAAAAAAGTATTTCTATCGCTTACTTAATGAAATATAAAAGCCATGTATTTTCGAATTTTGTGAAGAAAAACTTGAAAATAATCTGATTAGCTCATTCCTATTCTTCGCCTTTTACTCACTATGTCCCACAACACAGCTTTTTATTCATGTTTAATTATGATAAAATAAATTTTACAATTCGACGTTTATTTTAATATTGTCATTTTATCAAGTTCCTTATTAATTCCATTCTTACAGGAAATCATAGCTGGTGCACTAGACAAAGAACCTCGTCTATGGCGTAAACCAAAAATGGAGGATTTTGAACATTTACGTCAAAAAGTTGTAACTTTTGAAAATCTATGGCATACATACGATAAATGGCAACAGAATAAACTGAAAACTCATTCTTCAAATGATGCACAAATAATTAATGATGGAGAATCAGGTGCAAACAACAATGAATTTGAACCAGAAGGTCCAGCTTTACCTCCAGGATATTGAATTTTGTCAATGTATCATACATATACAGTGTACATATATTCGTTATTTTTTCCTAGTCTCAATGTATGAATGACTAGATTCATTCTGCACATATCGTTCCTAAGTGAATCGTTATTTCCTGTATTTAAAAATATTTTTAATCATGTATTCGGTAGTTCTTTCTAGTCTTGGAAGTTATTTGCCAAAAAACATGTGGTATTTTGATTGCTTGAAGGTAGTCAACAGAAAACCTTGAATCTAGGTTGGCACCCGTCAGCAAATAATTTAATTTATATTAATAACAAGAAATAACATCAAATGTTAGTATCAAAACAATAGTATGTCATCTCTTATTAAGAAGACTTTGTTCGAAATAGAAAATACATAAAACAATGAAAAAATATAATCCAACTCAGTATTACTGATTTCATCGAGCGGATTTAATGCGATAATCGGTACAAATGTGTATTGATGTGATAGCTACCTACTCTTACCCGGATCTTTAAATCTCACTGAACCATGAAATATAATAAAACATAGCTTGATGTATCAAGTATTAATATATTTTGTAAAAATACTACTCATTATATATCCTCTTGTAAGGAACATAAAATCATGATAAAAAAAGTGGTAAGATAAAATGTATGAATAGATTCAACAATAGAATATATTTGGTAATTTAGAATAAATTGAGCATTGGGTAGATTGTTATAAATAAATAATATATTTGTAATATCCCAATGAGTAGGAAAGTTAGATTTTCTACTCATTGGGATATTACAAATAGGATATATTGTCTATTAGACTTTTTTCGATCACAGCAGCATGATTCGAAGAATTGCTACTTCATAAAACAATCACTTAGTCTTTTGATTTCTAATTAGATTGTTTCTTATCAACCTTCATTCATTCACAGATTCTTGTTCAAATCCTAACTTTTTTGAACTTGATTGTATGGCTTTAGCTTTGTCCTCAAATGTGCCACCTTTCTAATAGTTGGGGATTTCTTTAAATCAGAAAGTTTAAGCTTCAGGTTTCACAGTGAGCATGATTCTGAAAATATCTTATGCACACTTTCTGTTATTGATGTAATTACATGAACATTTTCCTTGAACGAAGAAACTGTCAGCTACATTACTGGATATAAGTTCTTCCAAAGTAAGATCATGTAAATTGATAATTTATGCATGAGGTTTGTTTTTCCACGTTGAAATTAAAAAACAAATTCGACCAATTATTATTGTAATCCATCCATCTTGAGTTTGGAATTTTATTAAAGTTGGGTTGTGGCTAGCAGTTAAATCTAGAATACGCGTTTTGTCTTATTTAAAGCTTGTCAGGTCGATGTACCTAAATCCTAGTACTAACACGTCCATATCCAAACTCTAACAAAATACCGTCTGCTTCAATACATGAGACATCTTGTAGGTGAGTTTACAGTAGCTTGAATCGAGAAATCAATACAGTTTTGAATACATAGGTGTACATTTGTAAGAGATTATGACATATAAATAACTACTTTACAAATAAATATGATAGGAATGACTTCAATTATGTTTGTTAAAATCAGCTTGTTGATGTTTCCTTATACTGGTCTACATTATTTCAATTAATAAATATCTATAATACCATAATATGCTCTCTAAGTGATATCAACCTATAACATAAGGTAGCTTGTTATTGTTAAATAATATAAACGTTATTTATTCAGGTATATATACGTTTTTTAAAATCAATTTTCGGACTCGGAATAGCTTTGATTAAGCTAAATAATAATTGAATTGATTCCCAATATGTTTTTAAAATAATTATCTTGACATTAAGTTCAGTTTATATTGATGTGAATAGGCAAGAGAACATTTTTTTTCTCAATACGACAACCACAGAAATAATAATCATAATTTTGATATTAAGTAAATAAACTCTGAGAAAGAAAGTGAGAGAAAACAACAACAGCAAACAGACAATGTTATTTCCCGTTGGCAAAAACTACTACCAATTCAATACTGTATATAAGTCAAATACAAGAAAGAGATTGTATTAATAGAGATGAAAGTAAATAAAATTTTCAATAAGTGATAAATAATTTCAAGGCAAGCAGACAACACAATATTATTAATAATAATAAAAAACAATCACGAAAAAAATTAGTATTAATACAAAGAATAATAAATAAAAATGCACAATTATTCTGGGAGAAAAATAAACCTGAAAAGTGGGAATAGTTTCGTGCATCAATTACAATTGACAGCGATGTTATTATGTATATGGCAGATGTGTTATGGATAAGAAAAATAGGAGCGGATATATATATATATATATATATAAATAAGTACAATAGACTATTTGTGCAAATATTCAATCCTGTTAACGTGTAATTAATATTAAAATAAGTAATATTATCCCAAAGTTTTAAAGAAGAAAAAGTAAACAGAACACGAGATAAAATAAAGTGACCATCATCATTAGTCTTATAAAGTATATATATATGTAAATAAAACCTAGTTCAAAGAGAAGTGAAATCAGTGAGACTTCTCATAATATATGTACGTACATAACAAGTTGCAAATTCCTATGAGATTATTATTGTATATATTTATGAATCAGATCATTTCATCGGTTGATAAACATTGTCAATGCTCACAGAAATAAATGCTCCAAATACATCAAAAGAGAGATTAAATTTATAATATACAAAACCAAGTAAATTCTCTTTATCATATATACCGAGGAATAATTTGTCCTGTCAATAGACGGAAGACTGAGGTAGGCATTGTTCGAATATGTATCTTTATTGATAGGAAATTGAACAAAAAGAAAAGTACGATGATGAGATTGTTTGTATACAGAATTTAATTTAATTGGTCAAAATAAACTGACTCATGTAGGCAGTTACTAAAAGAAAAATCCGATCTGGAAAGGACAAGATATGTAAGTACCGTTTGACTATAATATTAACGATTCTGAAGCTTACATCTATCATATTAGCGTGAACTTTTACTAGCACTGGGTCAGATGGGACAACGCTGTGGTTTGCTTAACCACATGGACTGATGATTTGCATGCATTCGTGTGTGTAGGCTGCTAAGTATTCAATCAACTCATGAATACAGAGAAAGATACCAAATCGAAACGAGAATGAATATTACTAAATTATTAGTGAGTCGCATATGGCCAAAGGCGTTTCATATTATCAACACAACAGTACAAGTGATTGGTGGTTCAGTAAAAAGTAGGATACACACGGGTGTGTTCATTGAGACATGAACGAAGAAAGAAATATACATATATATGTGATGTAATATGTTGTAAAAAATCACCTTCGAAATGTAGATACAAATATAATAAGAAGTAAAATTGCACGCACAAAAAGTGCAATGATCTAGACAGTCATTTGGAAACGTAATTCATAACTGCTACGTCCCAAGTTTGGTCATCGCTCCACCTAATTAGACTTAGCTTAGTAGTGTTATTACGATAGGGGAAGGAAAAATCCCCGTTTTAGTGGCTATAAATGAGTAACTTACATGAAGGTTAGTACTTATCAAAAAGCATTAATTTTAATTTAAACCTTATTTCATTTGTATAGTTAATTGTGGGGATGATTTTAATTTTGAAAGTTTTCTTGACGGACTGATTTCAGCCGTTTCAGAAGTTAGGTGATATCACCAATAACACTGGATAATCATCGCGTCATCTCACAAACTGATTGAAATGGGTCAGTTGATTCTGACACTGAGTACCACAAGTAACATGATCACCGTGAGTAGTTAATATCTTGGATTTAACGCTTAATAGAGTTTGTGGGTGAAAACAATTTCAAATTAGAACAAAACACTTGTCCATTATTTCTTATTTGATTTTCGACGTTCCACGAGTTGAAACTAGTAGGTAACAGAAATATGGAGTTTAATTATATTGACTTAGGTATATAATCTCAGGGGAACTACTGTTATACTACCGGCTATGGAGAAAGAAATGCTCCACATACACAAGGAGTTGCATTGATGCTATCCAAACAAGCACAAAATGCACTTATAGGATAGGAATCTCATGGACCAAGGGTCATCAAAGCCTCCTTCAAAACAAAGAAAGGGGGCATTACAATCAACGTCATCCAATGCTATGCGCTTAGCAACGACTACAATGAAGACGCCAAAGATCAATTCTACGATAGGCTGCAGTCAATCGTCGAGAAATTCCCAACAAAGGAACTGACCATTCTGATAGGAGATTTAAATGCCAAGATTGTAATGGACAACACCGGATATGAAGAGATCATGGGACGACACGGACTGGCAGAAAGGAACGAAAATGGTGAGAGATTTGCAAACCTACGTACCTTCAATAAGCTGGTCATAGGCGGCACTATATTCCCACATAACCGCATACACAAAGCCACATAGACTTCACCGGATCACACTACACAGAACCAAACCGATCATATCTGCGTCAACAAAAAGTTCAGTAGGACAATGGAGGATGTGGGAACAAAGAGTGGAGCTGATAAAGTATCAGATCGTCACTTTCTGGTCACCAAGATGAAATTGAAACTCAAGAAGCACTGGACGACGGGGCGGACAACACTACAGAAGTTTAATACGGCTTTCTTCGCGATACTGACAAACTCAACGAATTCAAAATAATCCTAAACAATAGGTCCCAGGCCTTTCACGATCTACTCAATGAAGAGGGAACTACTATGGAGAGCAACTGGAAAGGGATCAAGTAGGCAATCACTTAAACATATCATGAGGTTCTGGGCCACAACAAGCATTATCACAAGGAAGGATCACTGTTGATACACTGGACAAGATTCAAGAAAGGAGGGACAAGAAGGCAGCAATCAATACCAGCCGAAAAAGAGCAGAAAAAGCCAAGACACAAGCTGAATACACAGAAGTAAATAAGCAAGTGAAGAAGAGCATCTGAACTGACAAACGTAAATATGTGGAAGATTTAGCAATGACGGCGGAAAAGGCTGTCAGAGAAGAAAATATGAGACAACTGTATGACACAACAAATAAACTCTCTGGAAATCACCGTAAACCAGAACGACCGGTGAAAAGCAAGGAAGGCAAGGTGATCACCAACATCGAAGAACAACGAAACAGGTGCGTAGAACACTTAAAAGAACTCTTGAATCGACCAACCCCACTGAACCCACCCAACATCGAAGCAGCACTCACGGACCTCCCAATCGATGCTGGCCCACCAACATTTGAAGAGATTAGCATACATATCAGACAAATCAAGTGTGGAAAAGCAGCAGGACCAGACGACATTTCAACAGAGGCACTGAAAGCAGACGTAGTGGTAACTGCAAAGATACTCCATATTCTCTTCAGCAAGATTTGGGATGAAGAACAAGTACCAACAGACTGGGAAGGAGGACTTTTGGTCAAAATAACAAAGAAAGGCGATCTCAGCAACTGTGAGAATTACAGAGGTATCACTTCTCGCTCAATACCAGGAAAAGTCTTCAACAGGGTATTGTTAAACAGAATGAAGGACTCTGTAATCGCCTAACTTCGAGACCAACAGGCTGCATTCCGTCAGGATCGATCGTATGCAGACCAAATTACGGCACTATGGATCATTATGGAACAATCAATTAAACTGAATCATCACTCTTCGTCAAGTTCATTGACTATAAGAAAGCATTTGACACAGTAGACAAGACAACACTATGGAGGCTTCTTCGACACTACGGCGTGCCTGATAAAATAGTCAATATCATACAGAATTCCTATGATGGATTAAACTGCAAAATCGTGCATGGAGGACAGTTGACAAACTCGTTCGAAGTAAAGACTGGTGTCAGGCAAGTTTGCCTACTTTCACCCTTCCTCTTTCTCCTGGTGATCGATTGGACGAAGACGTCAACATCTGGGGGGAAGCATGTGATGCAGCTGGACGACCTAGATTTTGCAAATGATATGGCTCTTCTGTCGCACACGCAACAACAAATTCAGGAGAAGACGACCAGTGTAGCAGAATTCTCAGCAGTAGTAGGTCTCACCATACACAAAGGGGAAAGCAAGATTCTCCGATACAACACAGAATGCACCAATCGAATCAATTTGACGGAGAGGATTCGGAAGATATAAAAAGCTCTACATATCTGGGCAGCATCATTGATGAACACAGTGGATCTGATGCAGATATGAGGGCGCGGATCGGCAAAGCAAGAGCAGCATATTTACAATTAAAGAACGTCTGGAACTCAAAACAATTGGCAACCAAAGTCAGAATTTTCAATACAAATGTGAAGACAGTTCTACTGTATGGAGCATAAACCTGAAGAACTACGAAAGCTATCATCCAGAAGATACAAGTGTTTCTTAACAGCTGTCTATGTAAAATACTTCGGATCCGTTGGCCAGACACTACCAGCAACAACCTACTGTGGGAAGGAACAAATCAGATCTCAGAGGAGGAAGAAATCAAGAAGAAGCGCTGGAAGTGGATAGGACACATATTGAGGAGAACATCGAACTGCGTCACATGACAAGCCCTCACATGGAATCTTCTAAGCCAAAGGAAAAGAGGAAGACCGAAGAACACATTTAGCCGAGAAATGGAGACAGACATGAGGAAAATGAACAAAAATTGAATAGAACCGGAAAGGAAGGCCCAGGACAGAGTGGGTTGGACAATGCTGGGCGGTGGCCTATGCTTCATGATTAGGTGTAACTGTTGTGAATAAGTAAGTAAGGTATATAATCATTTGATGAGTATGATAACAATGCATAGTTGTAACGTCAAGTGTGAAAAAAAATTGAATTACATTTGAACTATATAATATTATTAATATTAATTTTAAAAAATTATTGTTTCATACACTTACTTCACCAACTGAAGTAGCCAGAAGTTGTACAATTTTTTCATGTGATACAGCAACTACACTTTCACCATTAATTTCAATAATTCTATGATCTACACGAATTCCACCACGTTCAGCAATACCACCACGAAGTAGGCTACAAATTACACCATCTTGTACACTGAAACCAAGTTGGTAATTTAAACTAGGACGACGAATAAGTACTTCAACAACAGGTGGACAACTGATTATCATTAATTTTACGATTGTAGATTGCCGACAATTCTGTAAAGATTATATAAATGTAAAACTGTTTTTTTTAGAAAACGTCTACCTTGATCATGACTTACACTACACTGTTATTAAAAATGTCCAATCAATTTAATTCATCAAATTAGGCAGCCTATTGTCTATATGATTTCATAAGTAGTCGGGTTTAGTCACAAAGGTATTTTCCAGAATACTCATACAAACTCCAAGACACTGATACATTACTCTACTACAACAAAGCATTGAAGAGAACCTAAAGTATTATAGAGATAGAAAAAGTCTGGCCAGTCATCAAAACACATTCACAAGTTGGATATATAGTTGTAAACTCAAGTAGTAGGTATTTACATCACACATGGACTATCTGGTTGGAAACATTAAAGAGGAAAAATATATTTGTAAAACTCAGCGAAAGAATTTTAAGAAAATCCAACGTTGTAGTTTGAGTGATTACCGTCAACAAGAGGTTAGACTTCGGTTGATTGGGATTAAAATCGCCTGCAATATAACAGATCCATCCACGCGTTATCTTCCCTTAGATCTAAAGCTTATTTCACTAATCTATATTTTTTTTCTTGAAGTGTGCTATGTTTATTTTTATTTATTTATTTGAACACATAAATATTGGTACAGGGGGGCACCAAATATATATGCGCCACACTTTAGTGTGTGGGCTGAGATACTGCCCGGGTGCCCAAACCGAAGCAGGTGGTTTTCTTAGGGGGCCACACCCCGAGCCTTTGACCTAAAGGTCTAGTCCACAAGGCAGTGGAGCATCGTGAGGAGATGCAGTCCCATGGAAGCCGGTGACCAAAAGTTGGTTTATACGCCATTTGTTCCCGCAGGATACTGGAGCCCATGTGCACCATAGAATTGGGATCCGGTTATAGCGCCCGACGTTCGCTTTTCGTCCTCTCATTTTCGTAAACAACACCTCCGCCACGAGAAGGCAGTGAGTAGGACTTCCCTGGTAGAGGCTGTATATGCGTGGCCGTGTGAGAGTATTTCGAGAGGGAGGGCGAACCCTCCCCGCTCTCGGCCATACCAGGGCATTTGGGGGCTATGTCCCGATAACCATAATGAATGGTAACTTTTGTGATCCATTTATGGATCAATAATATACGTACATTCTTATCGTGTAAATGTTGAGTAACTAAACTAATCATATTCATGTCCCTCTTAAAGTGTTTCTTCGATACGTAGTCTTTTTTATTACCACTAACTGTTACGACTTCTACTCTGGGACTTACATTGACAATCTCACCGCATTGCGCGTAGAACGTAAAATTAGTGTTTACTTGGAAGCAGGAGTGATTTGAAACAACAGCACAGCAGCCAGGACCGGTAAATGCCTCTAACGTAAGAACGCGGCGTACTAGCACAACAGATTTATTAAAATTAAAAAACGCGGTTCGAGTACAAAAAAGTTTTATCCATCGTTATGCAGGTTCAGAGCTTACGTAGGGTTTGTTCCTCTTCTGATTGACATACCTGGAGGATGAGTTGGCTTTCAAAAGCTTCACTTTGGTCAAAATGGAGCGCTGTAACGAGAAACCCAATGATCGCTCTTGTGACCGTGAAGGAATCTTGTTGTGGAATAGGAACGCCTTCACGCCATTTGCTAAAATATTCCACGATCGCCAGTATTAAGCAACACAATTTAAAGGTGGAACCATCTAAATGTCGACTTTTGCAAAAAGAAGTACTCTTTTTGGGACAATCGTTCATCAATAAGTTGTTGACTGAATGTTGAGATGATGTAATACCTCAACGTGGTTGCATAATAACCCTATTTTATTTGACCTATAAAGAACGTCTTAATTATTACGCACCTTATATCTTAGTAAGAAACAAAAGAATTCAAATAAAAACACACTGTATCGACGTGATCAAAATTAAATGAGATGGTGAAGATTTGAAGTTCGGGTGGATGATGAAAGCTCCCTGACCTAACCATCCAACTTAGAGAACAAAACATCAAAATTAAATGTAATAAACAATTAACATTCAAAATTTACCTTAATTATCTGTTGACATGTTAAAAGTGGCAGGCCAACTAAACTTTGCCCATTAACAGCGACAATTTGATTCCCGATATTCAGTTGTCCACATCGTGCAGCTGGACCAGTTGGATGCATATTAGCTAATAAAGCAGTTGGTAGTAGACTGCCCCAACCAGATTCTACAATTACGACACCTAATGATTCACCTTTTTGTTTAGGTATAGTAACCTGGAAAATTTAAGTAAAACATTTGGTTTATGAATATATATAAATAAATATTAGGGGATTTGAGGGTGAAGTTAGTCAGTCAGTTATCTACAACGTAGAACCAGGCACATATGTATCGGTCCTATTTGCCATACATCATTAGCACAACTAGATGAACACCGGATTCATAGAAGTAGTTACTTCAATGATAGTATTATATTAAAAAAATCGCATAAAAGGATATGCTATAGGGAGAAAGAATTAGTTTGTAGGAAGAAAGGTATAGAGTAATCTTAATCACACGGTTTGAAAGAAGACGAAGAGTGTGTAAACTGACGCCATTGTGATCGATTCTGAGCCATGTCACCAAGAGTCTCCAACCATTGCTTACGATAGTCACGCGGACCCAAACCGAGTAATCTGCATCTACCGACATGACTCAGATCAGAAGTTAGTGGCTTCAAGCACTGATACCACACTTTGGTTTGTCCGCCTCTAACTTTCTTCCAACCATCTCCAAAATCGGTTAGCATTGTACGTCGTGGTAATCGGTGTTCAGGGAAAAGTAACATGTGACTCAACCATCTCAGTCGAAGAAGATTGACAACTTCATCAACTAACTTATCAGCATTCCCTAACACCCTGTGTCTAACCTCATTATTACTTACCCGGCTATACATCATTGTACCTAAATGTAATAAACTTATTTCCCTAACTGACTGTTTTATTATATATATAAAATATTATTATTATTACAACTAAGATAATCAAAACCCAAACTGATTGAATACTAGAGTAGTCAATGAATAATCTAATTAAACCACCCACTAAACAAAAAAATATGATCCATTCAAGCAAAATTGTAAAACATTGAAATTGATTTTAGTTATTCTTATCACTAAACAAAAATGAAAAGAAAAAACATACCTCTTTATGATTATCTTTATCACAAAATAAAGAAAGTTCATCACAGAATATTTCTTGTTGTTTTAAAATATCATCATAATCTAATTGTTTGATAATGCCTAAATCTTCAATACCATTTTCTCGTAGAAAATCTAAGTAAGCGAGTTGAAATGCGTGTCCAACTGTTTGAGCAATTAATTGAGCCTTAGATGACAGGAAAAAAGGAAACCAAATGAATGAAATGAATTAAGTCAACCCACTAATAATAGGTTTATGTACTTATCAGATCTAAAGAAAATTAAAGTTTAGTTATGCATTAAAATTACTAACTATTCTTTATAGTGTAGATGTTGTGTTAGTGACAGCCACTACCGTTTTGATGTGATGATGAATGTTGTTGATAATTGATTTTTATATATTCAAATTGCTACGTTTGAAGAGATTAAGATATCAGCATAAACCGGCAAATGGAACGAAAGTCAGTAACACAACAACAGAACAAGCTAAACTATTCAACTGTACCCCAACCCTGCTAACTAGAGGGAGAAGACCAGATTCAACCAAGGTAAAAGTATATTCCACAAGCAGTCTAAAGCATGAATGAACAAGTGCACAACTCATACGTACATATACAGTACAAAAATGTCCTTGGAAAACGTCACAAAATAGAGTACGAAAAGAGGAGACGAACCAATGACATTTAAGGTCCTCCCAAGTGGGAAATACAAACTGAAGGTAAAAGTATGCTCTTTTAGAGTGAAAGTGAGAAATTCAAACTTCCAAAATAAAATTACCAAAATGAGACGTTTACCAAGTGATTTCTTCTGGAGATCTAGCATCCCCAACACAAATGTATGCATACATTGAAGTAATTAGACAAAGAAATGACACAATTTCATATTATATTAATCATGGGAATTCTGACTATAGTTCTTAAAAATCCAGATCCTGACTATGTTGTATTAGTTTGCACTTTTCAGCAGTAGTTCCCACAATAAAATATAATTCGGTTAAAATTAGTTGAAAATCAGTTGTGAGATCCTTTTCATTAGAATACTATTATTTTAAAAAATAGTAGGACAACTTAGCATAGAGGATATAACCGATTATTCACAACAAAAAATTTTTTAATATTCCCACGGATATGTGATTTATCCTTGATATTTACCAAATTGTTATTCGACTCATAAAGTTAATAGTGATCTGACAATTTAATCGCGCTGTGCTAACTAGGTTTGGCAAATTGAACCGCTTTACAAATATGCTAGGTTCTACGTTGCGTATAACTGACTGACCGAGTAGTGAACTGCGGTCTTGAGTTCTTAGAAGCTTCAGTAATATACATTAACACATTTGATCACTAATCAACCAGAACAAGGTAAGGATAACTAGTAGTTTGACAGACCTTTCTCAGAAAGTTCCAAAGTACACTAACTAATCAGAGAATCTTCGGCATTTTCACTGGCTTGTGAAGGATTTTTTCAAAGACTTCTAACGGCAAGTCCTTAAAAGTACGGAACTAACGCATCAAGAACTACTCCCAAAAAAATCTGTGTCCAAACGGCCTTAAGCATTTATCCCTTGGGCTTTGAGATCATGCTCCCCAGTCAAAAAGACCACTAATAATCTAGTTTTCGATTCAGATACTTTAAGAATAAAGTATCCTCCCACAATGTGGGCAACAATGAAGTTGGAGACGCTCTTACATCCCTGAAAGTACTAGAGATCCTTTTATTCACGATCATATACCTTTACCACATAATATTTCTACTAATCCTACTATCAACCCTTTTTCTACGGCATCACCTCTATCCTCGCACGCTACTAATGCTAACGATTCAAGTCCACGAAGTGTTATTTTTTTCTACTGAAACTATGCTTCTAACTACATGTTGGTGCTTTCAGTGTTCGAAACTTCGGTCGAATCGAACAACAGACTGTATTAGCCTGGACCTAGTAGTAATAATAATAACAAAAATAATAATGGATTTATTCATTATTATACGTTCAGATTAATGTAGAATTATTGTAGTAACGTTACCAACGGACTATTTATGAGTTTATGCATATACTCGCCTACATACTTATTTCGTTTACTTACTCATATATTAATGGCTTAAACTATTTAATATACATATTTGACAGACAATGATTCATTGACTTATATAGTTACTCTCATGGTAAATATCAGTTCATTTATTTCAGTCTCTCACATTCTACTTGGAGGTTGTATCATTTGAGCCAGGAGCTTGAAATATATTTTTCTAGCTGTTTTGCTTCGTGTTCTGAAGATGATAATACACCGCTGGGAATTATTGTGATTACGATTATCCTGTACGAAGTACAGGAATAAACACGTAGCTACCACCTACAAACTTTATACAGTTTCTTGATATTAACATATATTATGTCATTGACTAAAGGTTGATTTATTTTTTTATATCAACAAAATAAAACTTCCATACTCCATGAATTTGATAACATACAAAACAGAATTAATAAAAATACACAAACGTTATGGTAATAAGAAAAAAAAGTAAATACATACTTCTGTTGATTCTAATACATGGCAAATCATTTTCATTGGCTTTTTTAATTTTTCTATCATTGTTGATTTTGTAACGCTGGAAATATTTGAATTAAGTGGTACTAATGAGTGTTGTTGCTCAGGTAAACTAGAATTAGTATTATTATTATTATTATCGGAGTTATAATTCGAATTTTCTTTCAGTTCATTATTCTGATAATTAGACGTAAAATAATTTTCAGACTCTTCTGATTGTGTTGAAGGATCTAATCGACGTGACATTAGAACAAATAAATCGCCAATATCAGCAATATATGAAACTGCACGTAATTTATGATCAATCAAGATATCCTATGACAAATTAAATAAAAGAATAAGAAAAAATAGAACTTATTTAAAGGATTTTTAATTTGTTGCTTTTTTCTCCCATTTTCTTTATTATTATTGTGTAAATAAATACATATGAAAATATCTTAAGTGGTTGAAGGGAGACGGTAGAAAACACTAGATCTAGGTTTTGTTGCCACTGACCTATCAGGGTCGCGCATACCTGCCTCAATGATATGTTAATTAGGTTATTGTCGAGTAAATAAAATATTTCTTCAAAAAAAGTGTGGTAACTCGTTAATGAGTTATCCTTATCATCATGTTGATAGAGAGGAAAAAAACGGTAGTATAGTTTAGTAATCAAACACGATCGTATGAAATCGGGTTTGAACTAAAACACATTTGCATAAGTAAATTAATCTATTACTCAGTTATTTAAAGAAACGTGGGAAGAGAAGTCTCAGGGGGTTGAAAATTTTTTAACATTTTAAACATTAAGTCATAGAAAATTCAATGTGTATTGTTTGTTTGAGTCTTCCCGTTGATGCATAGGACTGTAATTGATCAGTCACTTAATGGCATATGTGAATCCTGTGCGGATCGCCTCAATATCGCCTTAATTCATAGGCATTATAAGTAAAGATGGATGGTGGCTAGAAGTGGAATCCAGGACGCGCGTTTCGTCCTATTTGGGACTCTAAGAGTGAACATCAACTCTGGAATGCAGGTAAATCCAATTGACGAGTCCCAAACAGGACAAAACGCACGTCCTAGATTCTACTGCTAGCTACGACTCATTTTTGTCTATTAAAACATCGATTCTCAAGCGAAACAAAGAAAATTATAGTCAAATAAGTTTATCGATCTTTTTAGATATATAGAGGTCCTCCTGCACTCATATAGTGATGATATATCTTTATAGAAGCTAGAAGTAGGCTTAAGGAGAAAATTCTTATTCTATCCAGGATTTATTGGAAACTGATAGACTCAATACTGATTATTAGCATTGGATGACTTCGTAGTATTGTGATAGGTGACGCTCAGTGATTAATTAATGTGAATTCTAAGGGGGGGGGGGCATATCATATATCACTTAATTTGTCATGACTATATTCTTCTATTTTGAACTCAGACGTTTTTAGAAAAATATTTTGTACTTTCTTCTAGACAAACACTTTGTTAGAAGATCGAAATTAAAGAATTTTGATGATAATCTTAATGTTAACTTTTGTAAGCATACACTGATAAAAATCAGTCAGTTATAATCAATTTTTCCGATTGATAAATTAGACTAAAACAAGGATAACAAGCACGGTAGAGTACGGTGAATTCATCATTTATTTATTACACATATTCCCAACTGATGACACCTCCAGTTGTATTTACCATTTCACATTGGAAGAGCAGAAAGTCGAGTTTTTGTTTATTTTTTGTACCATAATCCTCAAAAATTAAGGTTACAAAGCTAGAATATTTTCAATAGCACCATTGCTCGTCATCTACTTGACAACGGACACAATGTTGACATATTAAAATCATTCAAAACAGTCGATACAACGTTGAGCTAAGGTCATCGCTCATTGAAAATGAACCAGCCTATTTAAACCGATACAGTTGTAAATTTCACACTACCCTGGTAACTTATATTCTTCATAATTCAATTGCGTGGTATCTTATTTCATACTCTCAAGAGTAAATTTCTTTCCTTCATCCTTGAATGTTTCTGTTCGTCTTACTCTACTAATATGTCTAATGTTATAGCTATCGTTAAATAACGCTAATGTCGATGTTCATTATCAGCTCAGGGAACGAAACTCCAAAATCATCCACCTGAGTTACAAATCTTCTCCACCATCTCTAAAATTAGCAACATACAAATATCCATCCATTTTATCATTTTATAATTCTTCCATAAGTGTTATCGCTATTCGACTTAATCTCCATTAAAATGATAAAAATATGTGTATTAGTTGTAAATAATTAGCACTGTTATTTCTAGGTTGTAAGCAGCTGACAAGTATCCAAAAAATAAATGAAAAATTCAACTTATTCTGTTACACTTATTGTTTTTGCTTTATTCAATGTCATAATCAACGTAAAAATTACATAAATGAGCATTTAGTTCAAGTTGTCATGACAAATCAGCATAATAAGATTAAACCAACAAAATGAATATCAGTGATAGTGAAAAATACTAAACAATGAGTACATGGTTCAAAAAGACTGAATAAAGTGGCATGTATGAAGGAATCTGTAAAGTAAAAATTTAACGAAAGATTAAAAGTGAATGAACCTGGGTCACTGAGAATGATTCTGAGAAACATCACCGATTATCTTCAAGCATTTATTAGGATGATAGCATGAACTCCAACCAACTAGTATGAATTAACAAACATGGCTTAGTTCAATAGTAAGTGACTTCATGAACTGATAACACGTACTGACCGCTCCTAAATTTCCTCCAACTTAATCCTACAACAACCATCATTGAGTGTCGAGGTAGGCAGTAGTTGGGCATACGTAACACATGTTCCCAACGACTTTAGTATATGAAGATTCACAATCTATTTGCAACAGAGATAAAACTAAACAAAAATAACATTTCGAAACAAATACATATAGAAACTCACTTCAAGATTACTGTTTAATATCATAATACGTTCTGTTGAGACAAACAATTCAACTGTTACACTAGGATGTGATTCGTCATCTGGAGCCTGAAGGCACAAAAACAAAACGACAATGACCATAAGTATTATTTTCGTGCACTAAATAGCTCTGATATGTTGCTAAATAAATGTAATGTAACAGGATTTGGTCAAAGTGAAGTTTAAAAATTGTCATTCAAACACTTTTGATTATTTTAGCAACATACCGCTTGATTAAACATTAATACACTTTAAATGCAAACAAAAACAAACATAACAATGTATTGTATGTTCAGGCAGATATTATTTTAAACAATTTGCAAAGAGAAAAAGTCACATTAACAACGTGGACAGTGAACATATACTGATGATACAAAAAAATAAAATACAATTAAATTATTACAAACATGTGGAACACACAATATTACGGTCATCTTTATTTAGAAATATGACAGCAGATACCTCCCTACAACATGTAGTTTAATTGTAACGAGCAGTGATATGTTCACAGTAGTGATCTCATTCAGCTATAAAGAATATTTAAGATTTGGTCGGTACTTTAAAATACAATAAGGAAACAATTTTACGCAAAATTCAATCTAACAATAAAATTTATCCGTATTTGTAAGTGTGAAATAACGACTACATAAATTTTAGTTTTCATTCCTCTGTAAAGGTAAATAGCTTTGTAAGCATTCGACATGAATGCTGACGTTTTCAGTTTCACTGGATACCAACTAGCTGAAAATATTCGGTCACGTATCATCACTAGGTTAGGTCACAAGTTACCGTGCAACTCTGTTCTCCTACACTAGCTAAACGGTTTAAAAGTCACAGATAGCGTTACCTGTATATACAATCAGATATATTTTTTTCTCTGACCATCATCACTTTTCTTATTTATCATTTGGATCATTTCATTAGAAGATACTTGGTTAATAGTATTACTCATTTCTGCCGTAACCAGGTTATCTTTACACTAATCCTCTCGGATCTTTAACTGTCATTTAACCTTATCACTCGGAATTCGATAAGTTTTATGGCCTCAACAAATTTAGTTTTATTGGTTATAGTGTAGCATGCACAATGCTGGTACTTAGAAATAATCATGTGAACTCAAGTGCTTAAAGGTAAACACATTGTATATATGTGTATATGTACCTCTCTTCTACATAATTGTGTACGCTAAGAACGAAATGATAAACATACGTAAGTATAACTCGAATAAATGCTAATACATATTGATACAAAAATATGCACACTGAGTACATGTGTTAGAAAACAGACACGAATTTGCAAAGATACAACAACAATACAACATGGATTTCAGCTTACACCCTGAATTTAAAAAGAGAAAATGAGAAAAAAAGAAAGTATCAGTTTAAAATTTCATTAGTCATGACATGTATGTTTCTCTTTTCTCAGCAATTATGTACTACCCCTAAAAGATGGACGTCTCTCAACCAGTAGTCACAACACTCAACAGTCCACTAATCAGTTATAACTACATCGCAGAACATGGAAAAAACATGCGTTTATCTCATTTATCATATAGTTTGTTTCAGGGTTATGAGAAAAATTTCTTTCCATATCCATTAGGACAGAGACGATTGTGGCTAGACAGCAACATAGTTGGACTTTAAAAATCCATACAGACAATGCCATCTTTTTATATTGATTCTATCCTAAAATGCATAATAGCGATATTGTTATACCAGTCACTGTCAGTTAAAAGCAGAGTGGAATCTACTAAACAGGTCCACCGCTTCAAGTTCTCACACTAAATCAGAACAGTGAGATGAAATCAAGATGAAAAGCGTAGTAATATCATTGATTGTAAAAAAAAGAACTAGGGATAGACGATATGAATCGAAAATTGATTTATGGAATAAAAAGTATGAAACAATTTTGAAACTAAGGGTCTAAGAGAAGACAAATGGTGGATGCATTTGGGACACTGAAACTGTTTATGAACCATGTCATGATTTTTTTGCAGGTCCCAACCAGATGGTACTTTTCATTTACCAATATGGCTCAAGCCAACTACATGAGCTGTAAACGTAAATGTAAATTATCATACTTACTCAAAATCATGATTGATAAATGTTGAGATTTTCCCATTGATGATATTCAGGATTAAATTTCGATAAGTCTCGTTAGGTTTATATGTATCATGTACGGTTTGACTGAATACAGCAACTTTTCGCAAGTTCTTTTAGAACTTTTTTAAGAATTCTCGGAGTTCTAGTGAGAAGCCAGGACCAGTGGAACTAATCCGTGTCGGGTAGAGACAGGTATCGACCTCAGTACAAAGGAAGATGGTTGCGCAATTTCATGGATTGGTTGATGTTAAACATTAACACCATTGGCTGCCGGCTGAGTGGTCCAGTAGGTTAAGCGTTCGCGCGCGAGACTGAAGGCCCTAGGTTCGAATCCCGCGAGCGGGATCGTGGATGCGCACTGCTGAGGAGACCCATGCTAGGACGAAACGGTCGTCCAGTGCTTCCAGGTTTTTGGTGGTGGTCTAACAGCAATCGGTTCATGATCTCAATCAAAAAATCTTTTAGAACAGATGGACTGTGGCTATAAGTAAGATTTATAACTCCTTTTTCATTTAATTTGGGACCCGTCAGATGGATGTACCTGCATCCGAGTGTTGATGTGTTCAGACTTAGACCCGAATCCAGTCCCTTTCAGTTGAGACGCTCAATGTGTTATCGACTGAGCTACTGAGCCAAGATAGTCACTAACTTTTGCGGCAGGTAAAATGTTAATATCGTTATTGATAAAGATTTCATATATAGAGTCAAGTTTCCGGATTTACTATATGCAGAGAGTCACTGGTGAACATTGTTGAAGATTCAAATACTACTGTGAGACAGCTAGCAGCTATAGCATATATAATAGTATTAAAATAAATATCTAACCTTGATACGATTCACTACTTCTTGAGCTTGAAGCATACGAGACATTCGTGTCGACTGTTTATTACATAAAATTTGAGTACTACCCATATACTGAGCTCGAAACAATAATCCATGTATGAGAACATCTGGTTGTTCAGGATGTCGAACAGAGACTGAAAGAAAAATGTAGTCGTATAAAATAATAATGTTGAAATGATGAACATAAAATAATAATTATTTTTCTTAGAAATAGTTAAAATATGAGGTTGTGTAAACACACATGCATACAACACTATTACAACTATTCCAACCAATTCCTACGCAGTCAGTCATATTCGATGTAGGGCATAACACAATTGTGCATTAAGCCGAGTCATCACATACTAAAACAGAACAGTCAGATAAAGGTGACAAGATGAATAGCAAAATAGTCAGTGATAGTAATAGCCATGGCACTAGAAGAACATTCCGAATTTGGCTTTAAAAAAGTAGGGAATTTATTCATGCAATAAAGTGTGAAATTATTAGCTAGAATCTGGTAATTTGTAATGAAAGGTGTTTGGGGAATCGACGAACTATAAGATGCAACGCTGAGTGATTGATTGATAATATGGAATGACACAATGCGGTCGAGTGATGGATATTCACGTGACCAAATTGATGTAATCTCTCGAATGATTTTAGATTAAACACAGAACCACTAGCCAGAATAATGAGTTTTTTTGTGTAGTAAAATGACAAGTTTATATACGGAAGATTAACACAAAATAAATATGATAAATCGTTATAATCGATTGACGGGAATCAGTTTTTTAGGTCGCTCACGCTTCAATAAATTAAGGCCTGACTGTTAGGCCTGATTCTTGGACATAGTAACGGAAATAGGAAAGAACTAGGACTTAGAGGAAGTTCAAAAGTGAAAACACTGACCACTGTAACCTATTTTAAATCATATCACCTACGGTCTCGAAGATGTACATTCCTACTGAAACAGATTACCAAACAAACAGCCAATAACTTTGCAGAATGGTCTCAAATCTTGACTTATCCACCCCAACCTTTCTTCCAACCTCCATCTATGCTAATCAGCACTGTAGGTCAACGTAGGAGATGGTTGGACATACGTAATATATGCTCAGTTCACCATCACAGTTTCGCCAGTCAATTACCATCCTTGTCTGGGGCCCTAAACTATGTCATTTAGTTGAACATTGGACCAAAATTAATATTTAGAATCAATGGTATATTTTAATTGTTCAATAACACCCAATAGGTTAAATTAACTAATTTAATTATACACGAGTAATTAAATAGTGTTTCATTTATTGGAGACTTGATTCACATGTTTTGTGTGAGGACTAGTTGATATGATACGTAATGTGATGGAGTTAATAATGCACACTATTAACGCTTGAAAAATCCAACAATATAGAGAAGATAGGCTCTGTAAGAAAATGGATTTCCTACATGAATAATACGTATAAAGGTGTATTTGTAGGTAGGTATATTAACATGAGAGACATGAGGTTGGTGACCTTGTTTATGTAAATAATTTAGCTCCTCATTTTAGCTTGGCCACACTTGCATGTAAACATTTGATTAGATGCATCGTTTAAATGGAAATAGTTGAAATGAGGCTAGAAATTGAAACTAACTACTCTAATACAAAACAAGAACACAATGAAATTGTTGTGCAATAATTCGGCATACCATATAGTAATAAGTACAATATTATTACCAATTATCGACAAAATTAGGCTAACAATTGTAAACTTTTGTTCAGATAATTACACTTCTACTTTCTTTTAACTTATTAAACTCATTACATTTAAATAATTCGACAAAATACAAAACAGAGGGTATAATTAACCGTTTTAGTGTTCAATAATAACAGGATTTATCAATTTTTTAGTGTAGTACGGTTGAATATATCGTTAGTAAAGAAAGGAGAGGGGGTGAGATACGTGAGTGTTTTTGTTATCTGGTTAGTAAATGCAAACATATAAAGTGAAAAAAGCTATAAAAATTAGTGAAAGTTACGTAGGGAAAGAGTACAAATTTAGATTATTATTATTTATATCAATAAAATATTATTATTATTATAACATATAATCATACGACTATATTGAAGATGAATTTTTCGTCGATTGGATATGAAATCTTAGAGAAGTAGGAAATTGTGTTCATGATCACTAAAGAATAATACTGGCAACTATGAAGAAATTGATGCTACAATCTTAAGAAATAAAAAAATTGACAATTTTTAGCAAACAATTATTACTGTCAACTATTTATAAGTGAAACGATGGTTTTATTGTATTCTGCATTTGGATTCGATTACGACATAAACATCCTATTGTACACTTAACCCACAATGCAAATTAAATGATGGAAATAAGTCGGAAGATTTGATCGTCTAACCTAATTGTAATGTACAAAAATTATAGGTATATATCCTGGAGGTATGAGGTTCTCTGTTCTCTTCAGCTCACGGAACACACCATCTTCAACACTCTTATCTTGAGTTACAAATGTTCTCAATCGTGTCGTAGGCATACACAAAAGGTTATTTTTCTGACCCAAACACGATATGTAGGTTCGAACCCTGAATAGGTGACTGACCAGCTTCGATCAATAGCGTTTCTCGTTTACAATTTTTCACCCATCGTTAGACGTTTAGGTAATGTGAGCACAGGCACATGATGTGTTCGTATATATTCAGCTTATCACGTTTGATGGATGAAACATTCAGCTTTCAATCAGTGGTTTTTAAGTTTTAACATTTGATTTATTGACTTTACCCAGACAAGTATTAGTAGTAGTCCTTAAATTCAAGTACATAAAACTACACCCGGTAGATGAGTTACATCGTCAAGTGTATCCTCCGTGATATATTGTACGTGTCTAGTGTAAATGATTGGACGATGGATCATGATGAATTTTGTCAACTCTCTACGTGTTCACTCAATTTTACACCTAATATGCAGTTAGATAGTGATATGATGAGATAAGATGACATCATCGAGGTCAATACTTTTTGTTTCAACTCATTGTGAATTTCAGAAAAGATGATAGGAGTGAAGTTTATTTAGTATAACATTTTAAGGTCAATATTTCTTGTACCAATTCAGTATAAACTTCGTTTAGTATGTCAAGTGTGGACTTTCATTCAACGTGATAACTACATTCCCTGTATCAACTCGAGTCAATCATATTCAGAGTGCGCTTTTACAGTAACTGTGCATTTTCTGCTATACGTGATTAAAAATTAGTACATAAGTGATTTCGGCCCAACGAGGGAGTGATTTTGAGGCTTGTTCGAGGATGTAAATCTTCATTGCACCAGTCTTTTCTATGTTTACTTTGAGTCATGGGAGTTGTAGTGGTTCCTAATTATCAAATATAAACAGTAAGACTGGGGATCAAATAGAGTCGAGTGACGACAAGACCATGCCAGATATAACAGATAGATATATAGTTAGCTAGAATGCTTTTCGGATTTAAAAATATTCCATCAATGGCTCGTTAAATAGATGGTTTTTATGAACTAGTTAGTAACAGTAAACACGTTTTAAACGAAACTTAAAATTGCTTTAAGTGGTTATATGTTGAGAAAAGATTCAACAAACTACAAAATTTATAAGAAATATCTCCCATTATTTTGAACAAATTCAAGTATAGACGGCAGGCACTAGTTCATGCATTAAAATTTTTCCTTAAACCGTGGCAAGTAAAACATTAACCACTTAGTTTCTTTATTATTAGTAGTACTATTATTATCACTGTTTAGTACTAATGAGTAACTTTCACTTAGGTACAACGTAAACATTATCAAGATCAAAATAATCGAGCCTCATTGAAGACAGGAGTACAATGTGATATGCATATGATAAACTTTTAAGGTTGATTTCGTTTTTATTAACGGTGATGACAATCCAAATCTCGAAAATGACCTAAACACCAGATATTCATGTATTTATTAACAAAGTATCTGGATTGAGTTAGTTTATAAACTCAAATTGACTGTTCAGGATAACTTGATCAAACAAAAAACTGCTTCACAATATACTTGAAATTATCAGAGTAGGCGTTAATGGTCAATCATAGAAAACAATGTAGTATTTATGTATAAACGGATATATATCCAAATTCCAGTATAGCCCCGGAGATATTAATAAAATGAAAAATATAGGAAAGGGAAAAATAATAACAAATGAAACTGCGACCTAAACAAAATCCAAAAAAGAACAAATGGAATCGATAAGAATCGAAAACAGAATATTACTGAAAATCCGCTCCGATTCTGTTTATATTATGATCTCTTATTACGACCCAGCTACTTTTATTACTTAGTATTCTTTAAACACTTTACTTCACTCGACAAGTCCCTAAATCAGAACACCGCTAAACAGGAACGTAATTATATCCCAAATAGACAAGGTTGGATGTGAGCAGGAATCACAATAGAAAAACGTTAGTATATAATTTTAACATAAGATTTTAGAGTCTTCTCTAAGCATCCACTAGAGCTGATTGGCTAAAAAATGACTAACCAGCATGCTCGAACATAATCCTGCACGGAATATGCCCTAATCCAATCTATATCTCACTAAAAATTTAGAATCATTGTTACATTATTATGAATCATTCAGTGAGTAGTAATACTTTTAGTATACACACAAACATACCTTCTCGAACTCTACGTTGACGATCAGCCTGAAATAAAACAAACAACAAAGAAAAATCATGAGGAAATTGTTCTTCAAAATATTGTAAAATAAAGAAAACTTCATTTTCTATCACTTAGAAATCCAAAATTGATCTGGTCATATAGAGAATTTAATTTCCTGTTTTACTCATCAGTATTTCTTAATTATTATAATGTTATAGTGCACTAGTTTATGAATTATTCTTATAGGTGAATCTTTGAGCTATGTTTTTGTTCAGGGGAGTGATCAAATGTATTATCTAAAGAATAATTCACAAGTATGTGTTTTTCACAGACATTGTTTTTAGATACTACTGACATGTAAACTGATAAGCTGTGAATGGTTGCTTTTAAATTCGCTTGTCTGAGGCTAGTAAAAATCAAGAATTTTTTTAATTAGACATATACCGACAAAAAGATATATATATATATATATATATATATATATATATATATATATATATATATATATATAACTGGATAATTAATTAAGCTTCGTGTCTAGGACAATAAAACAGTTTTTTAGAGACCAATCGATTTAAGGAACTTTTAATCACGAAAAAATTTCTTGAAACAACTTGACCAAAAAAGAAACTGAATTAACAATGATAGCCATTCCAGTCTGGAGCATGAACCCCAAACCAGAAATATAACTGATTGAGACGAATTACTAGTATTTTAAGTTAGTTTACTAACCAGATGTTAGCTCCATTCCACTTTATAGATGTGAAACATGGCCATTACAAATAGAAGACAATTATGGGTTATTGATATTCGATCATAGGCATCTACGAAGCATTCCTCGTGTATTTTGGGACCACAAAGTAAGCAATTTCCGGAATAGGAACAAGTTACTAGGTATAGATGGCAAAACGATTGATGTGGTAAAGAATCTTCACCAGCTGAGGATATCTGGGACATGTGTTACGTGTGCCCAATCACCGTCTGCATTGACAGGTGATATTTTCTGGTGCAAGAGTAGGCTGAAACAAAGCTCGAGATGGTCAAACCAAAACACCACATCAGCTATGAAATCACCGACAACTGGATTGAGTTATGTTCATAGGTGTAAATAACCTGGTTGGGTCCACGTGATTATCGTAACCAGTGACTAGAGACTCTGAATGATATGTCCCAAAATCGTGAGCAATGGAGCAGGTGCATCCATTCTTTGTCTTTCTCCAAATCCTAAGATTCCAAATTCCTCATACCCTCTTTTTGTTTTCATTTAGATAATTTATCTTCTCTTGCCAGATCGTACCTTTGATGCATGATCTTTCCTATTACTACTCATGTCTTCGCCTCTAGTATTCTGGAATTTAGTGTGACAATCTCATTCCTCTGTACTAATAGGGTATGGCAACTTGAACCGATGTACATACGTACCAGGTTCTACGTTGTAACTGACTGATTAATTTGATCAAATGATATTCACGAATTATACATGCCGCTAACTCTCGTATATAATTATCGAGTTAATTCGCATTAGACGATTACAGAGTAAGTCAAATACGATAGCGAATTTCGGATATGTGCATTTCATATTTTCATTGCCCCTAGACAGACAACAAGAGAAACGAAACGTAGACGCAGACCGGAGGAGGAAAGTGTGGCAACTCTATTTGATCAAGCGTGACTTAATATTTATAGCCAGACAAAAATAAGCTAAAGACATGTAATGAATAGGCTAAGCGATGCACACACATACGCTCATTTGAAACAGTCAAGGTCAATAAGCGAATAATTGATAAGGGTAAAATGTGACTCCAAAATAATTAATTATTTGGTCTGTCCGGAAGCTAGAATAACCCCATGTAAGGTTGATATGGTACCAAAAACTACAGGTTCCATGTTGTGACTAACTGAAGTGAATATTAGTATCACAGTTATTTAGCACATATGATACGAACTATAGACGCTACTGTCTGGTTGATTAAAACGGAACAAACCAAGATGTAAATAATGTAGACCTTGGATTAACGGCAAGCAGCTAACTTAAACTATTGTTTCTCGCATTTGTATCTGTTCAACATGAGTTGCCGCACAAATCATATAAACCATTAATTTTATTATATTATTGATAAATGGATCAATTCAAATCTGAACACAACGTAACATGGACTGAAATGTTATATGACAAATTGAAGTAATCAGAAGCCGACTGGATAATAGATGCACGTGACTGGCCAGGAGACGATTTACGTTCTCTTAGGAACGAGATACCACTAGTGGTTTTATTTTTTAAGGGATATATATATAACTACACACAAACGCCGATACGGTTAGCTAATAATGCTTCCTTCTCACTCGTCTAATCAGCTATACTAATGAATAGGAAGCTTGAGTATTAGTATTAGTATCGGACAGCGCAAGTCACAACACTATGCAACTGAACTTTACAAGGAAGTTATACCGTAAAAAGGATTATTGGAAACTAGTAATAAAAACCCACATAAACGCACGAAATGGTACTAAAATGGAGTGAATACAGCAATGTTGAAATAAGAAAAATTTGCAAGACATGGGAAAAGTGCTTTTCGTGTTACACTTTTTGTTCTGAGCTGAAGGCATACAGATAAATCAATTACACAGATAGTGGAACTGACTTTTAGCCAATAAATTGCTGGTTCAAAATCCGTTCCACCCACTTCAATTTGAGCAATCGGGTGGTCTATCACTAGCCCTCACAAACTTAAAATGCGGTTTAAAGTTAGATACACAAATCTGTACCTGGTGAGTTAGCATAACGTAGCGATTAAACTAAAAAATGAATCAATTAGGATACGAACATACATGAACATAAACACAGCATTTTTCAATAATTACTGATGTTTATGTTTAACCATATTAATAATTGTAAATACTCAGCAAATAATTAGCAATATTCGTACTATTGAGGTATGTATGCTTCAAATACAATGGTAGCAATAATAATAATAATTTATGAGACAAAAGTATCAATTATTAATGGCATAAAGCAAAAGAGAAAGAACCTTACGACGGTGGCCCAATGGCCAAGGTATTCAGATTTCATAATCGGTGACTCTGGCTAGAATCCTTTTATTACACCTGCTTTTCTCTGAGCAATTCGAGTAGTTTCATTAAGTCATATAGCGTGGTTCAAAGTCCAGTATTTAAACTTACACCTCATAAATAAGTTATAATGAAAGAAACAAATTATAAAGAGCTAAAATCAGAGCATTGTAATCACTTTAAACGAATTCCTTCTGGTATTTAGTTGGACGACTTAAACAAGAACAATATGATCATCAGTTGAGCTTAATTTAAAACCAACAACGTGTTTTCGAGTTAATGAAATGTAATTTATGCAAAATCTAGTATTAAAAACAATGAAGTTTACATAGTTGGGTAGTATTGCAGTATTAATAAAAAAAGGCGGACAGATAAAACAGCCTCCAATTAAGTCGTAAATTTGAAAGCTGTTCTACATCCACAGTGGTAACCTAGTGGCTAAGGTGTTCAACATTCAACCGCACCCTGGTGGTGACTAAACTGCACTACAATCGAAAGAAAACAAAAAATATGCATCACTAATAAAGTATTACATACCTCTATGCAAGACTTGTCTTTCAATTCTGGGATATAAACTTGTTTATCAGCTTGATACTGTTTATCTAATAGTTGAGCTGTATCCTCATCGCTGTCGAAATCTGATGAAATCAATTTCAGAAATAAATTACAACTTATGGACAATAGTTATTAAAATAATAATAGCGATAATAATAGTGATATATACTGATTAAAAATGTATGTATGAGGGTGGGGGCAATCAACAGCTAGAAAATCAGTAACATTTGAGAGTAATGTTAGAGAACATGTTTAGTTGAACAATCTTGTGATACTTTGACTAGTATGAAATTTCTATGAAAATAAAACCCGTATTAATTTATAAAATCTTTGACTTCCCGGTTGTCAAAGCTTGTAAAGCCTTGGAGATCCTAAACAATGTTCCATAATACTGATAACCAGTAGCCAACAAAAGTAAGGAATGTATGTTTATTCATTCTTCATGTTATTGAGATTCGAACACAAATATTCGTAATACTAGTCATTTTGAGGATTTTTAGTTGAACGGTGTAAGATAAATAACTTCGTGGGACAGTCTCCTCCCTTATAGCAGAACGAAAAAATGAATAACGCTGCGGTTAATTGGATAAAACTATGCAGAGATGGTGAGGTAGTGAAACGTCAACAGCTGAAGTGGTTGATACAGTTACACAACGACTAGATACTTTAACCTAACGTGCTATCCTGACTAGTATAGAGACAAATCAAGACAATTGTATTGATCCATCAAGTTACTAACTGTTGATCTGAGGGGTGTCAAGGAGTGTGAACTTCCGGAACTAGGGTCCATTAAATAACTTTAATCTATGGCAGAAGATATTAGGTGTCATAGTTCCATAATTGATTATTGTGATACATGTGTTTATTCTTTTCAAACTTTACGTATTCAATTCTCAACTACCGTTGATGTTATTTTTTTCAACTCTTCTGCATTTGCTCTCATTAATTTCCTCCTGTCGTAGTGGTATGAAATGTAGCAACTTGAACCAATACATATTTTCACATCTTAAGTTATTTTGAACATGACTAGCCAACTACAGGTTTGCGTATTACTAGTTGAGCGACACTTATGTAGGAGTTGATGATTCAATCGCTTAAAATGAAGTAGAGTTGAATTCAAAGCCTAATGACTACTAGTCAAGCTTTAAAAACATTAAATCGTGACTACATAATTCCAACCTTACAGAACGTTACAATAAATGATTAATTTTTCAATTTCGCTGCAAAAAACCTACCCCCGTCTCGACGATCGGACTGTCGTGAAATGGGTGACTTATAAACTTCATCAGAATTAACATTGGTACGAGTTGCACTCTTCGAATTTAATTTATTTGTTACCGCACCTGAATGACTTGAATTAGTTGATGCTTTAAACTGACTTTTTTGTTTTGAATTGTCAAACGAAGATGACAATGATAATGGTGATGTACATTTTGTATTTTGTCCTTTATCTGAATTATTTCGAGATTTAATTTCAGATTTAATAGGAATAGATTTACTAGTATTACTTCTATGGGAAGTTTCATCTTCACTTGAACTATAGACAGTATGTACTTGTGCAGGGAATGTCCATTGATGCATTTGTTTGTATGAATATGAATCAATAGGTGATTCCAGAATATTATTTTTAATATCAGTAGCATTACCTAAAAGAATAATGAATGATTCAGTTTATGCTATAAAAATACACAGAGTGAGAAAAATATGCAAAAAAATAAGAGGAAATACAAAGACAAAAATTGAGAAGTAGAACAATGTGGGAAACTGCTATTTTTATAAGAACCAGTATTCATTGTCAACGTAAAATCCAACAAGAGTGGAGTATCCTTTAAAATAGCCAAATTTCACATCGTCAAAGCAAGACAAAAAGTTTTAGAAAAATATGAAGTACAGCAGAGGAAATTTAGAGATCAGTACAGTTAAACTGGAATATAATATTGATCCTTTTCATGTCTGCTTCCAATTGCCGACGCAGTGCGTTCTTTGGCCTTTCGCTTTCCCGTTTCCCTTCAGGATTCCAAGTTAGCGGTTGCCTCGTGGTGCAGTTCGATGACTTTCGTAATGTATGTCCTATCCACTTCCAACGTCTTTCTCTAATTTCCTTTTCGTTTGGAAGTTGGTTTGTTTTCTCCCACAGTAGGTTCTTGCTGATGGTGTCTGGTCAACGGACGATGAGTATCTTGAGTAGATAATTGTCTGGAAATACTTGTACCATTTTGATAATTGTGGTAGTTCTCCAAGTTTCAGCTCTGTACAGGAGAACTGTCTTGACGTTTGTACTGAGGATTCTCACTTCGATGTTGACTGACAGTTGCTTTGATTTCCATGTGTTCTTCAACTGTAGGAATGCCGCCCTTGATTTACAAATCATTGCCTTGACGTCTGTATCAGATCCTCCACGTTCATCGATGATGCTGTTCAGGTATGTGAATGTTTCCACCTCTTCAAGAGTTTCTCCATCACGTGTGACTGGGTTGGTGTTCTCCGTGTTATATTTGAGGATCTTGCTTTTTCCCTTGTGTATGCTGAGGCCTACTGATGCAGAGGTTGCTGCTACACTAGCTGTCTTGACTTGCACTTGTTCGTGTGCATGGGATAGAAGGCCCGAGTCATCTGCAAAGTAAAAATAGTCTACTTGCATGCAAGCTGTCTATTTTATTCCGTGCTCCCCTCAGGTGTCGAGGTCTTCATAATCCAGTCGACTACCAGAAGAAAGAGGAAGAGGGAGAGTAGACAGCCTTGTCTGACTCTGGTCCTTACTTGGAATACATCTGTCAGCTGGCCTCCATGCATGACTTTGCACTGTAGTCCGTCGTATGAGTTCCGGATAATGTTGACAATCTTCTCAAATACACCACAGTGTCGAAGAAGGTTCCATAAGGTCCTCCTGTTCACGCTGTCAAATGCTTTCTCATAGTCAAGGAAGTTGGTGTATCCAATTGATCGCTCATCAATGATCCTTAATGTTGAGACTTCGTCTATACACAACCGATCCTTACGGAATCCATATGTTGATCTTGAAAATGGGTGTCTACTGAATCTTTCATCCTGTTCAGCTACACTCTGTTGAAAACTTTCACTGGTACCGATAGTAATGTAATAAATCTGTAGTTGTCGCATTTGCTTATATCTCATTTCTTTAGTATCTCGATGAGGTATCTTTTGTCAAAACTTGGTTAGCTATAAATATCTTAAATTGATTGCTTTCCTTTCTGATATAATGCACAACAATCAGAGAATCTGTCAGAAGAATCACATCTAAAAACTTCATACATAATTCAAATTGCAACTGCAAGTCTAAGTGAGGTGCTAAGACTGCTGCTGTAAGTTCTAAATACAGTACAACGCACACTTTCATTGCCCCTACCCTTGTCTGGCAAGGACAAACTTCAATACCAACTGCGTAACATCAGACATATGCTACCGCTCCATATCCAATTTCTGAAGTATCAATGAAGATATGAAGCCTCATGAATAAATGATCTACATGAGGTGAGCCACTAGCTCTTTTACTTTCTTCATAAAAAGTGGGTGCTCCTTCCTTAACTGAAAGATTTCTTCTGATTGTACCTTTCCGTTTCCCCCATTATTGTTCTGTCTCTTTTTTTTTATAATTCCCTATGTTCATTACTTTTTTTTTCTCCTTCTCTTCAAATTATCATTGTTTTGTGTGACGCATATATATTTGGTGCCCCCTTGTACCAATATTTATGTGTTCAAATAAATAAATAAGTAATAACTACATGAGGTGTCAATGTACACTGCGAGAATGTAATACTTTCCACTTATCGAATGTCACCCACAAAAGCAAGTCAATGAATGCTCCGTTTTGGAATTTTTTTGACCCATTCTAAACCTAATTTGCAGAACCGATGAAGCAACTATTTCACAGGTAGTATGAAGGATATTAATAATTTCAAAGTCTTAGAATGAGGATATATTTGATAGGATGATTTGCCTAGTTTTAACCCGTTTTGGTACATGAACCTTAAAGGTAAAGGGATAATCCAGTGTTCCGAAGTAAGCTGGAAGTGTGTCAGAGTCAGTTACGTTCATAGTGTTAGCTTGCTCCTCCGGTATAGTTGGTGTGATGAATTGCGAGTGACAGCTTATTTATTTGACAGATCGAAAGCCTCTTTTTGAGGACAGAACCAGGTTCTCCAGTCGAACAGATTGAGTAATAAACATTATCAACAGAGACCAAATAACTATCAACATAGAATCTGTTATCTACAAATATAGGTGGTATTGCACCAGATGTATGAACAGGCAGACAGTACCCCATAGCTTTTTGTCTTATGTCATTCGCTATCCACCACAGCAAACGACATCCTCCTCTGTCCCTCTCTAGATTATTTACTTGAAGAAACATTTCTCTAATATCAGCACCTAATGCTATCTTATTTAGTCTGAACCACATAAGCAGCTGAAACAAGCTATTGACTGTTTTATGGTCCTCGCAAAAGTTGATAGTTGAGCGATGGACCCTAATGAACAGCGCCATAATCAAACGTAATTCTTATTTTTTCTGGCTTTCTGAGATTGATAACAGAGTATTGAGGAAAATACCTACAAACATCAAAAATTTGAATATGTAGTTAAAGAATTGATAATAATGGGACGCGACTATAAAAATCGCGTAACCGATACTAATATTAATTAATTTATTTATTTATTCAAACACATAGACATTGGTACAAGGGGACACCAGATACACGCACCACACAAATCTCACTTGATTTGTGTAAGGGCTGCGACACTGTCCGGGTGCCCAAGCCGAAGCAGGCGGTTATTTTTCAGGGGCCACACCCGGAGCCTTCGACCTAATGGTCTGATTCACAAGGCAGTGGAGCAACGTCAGGAGATGCAGTCCCATGGTAGCCGGTGACCAACGATTGGTTCATACTCCATTTGTCCCCTCAAGATCCTGAAGTCAGTGTGCACCATTGATTTGGAATCAGGGTTTTCCAACTCCCCTAGGTGAACCATCCATATCCACCAACCAGGTTAGAGCACCGGACATTCGCTTTACGTCCTCTCAATTTCGTAAGCAACACCCCCGCCACGAGAAGGCAGTGGTTGTATGCACGTGGCCATGTGAGAGCGCTTCGAGAGGGAGAGCTGACTCTCCCCACTCTCGGCCGTACCAGGGCATTTGAGGGCACTAACTCTCCAGTCAGTCAGTCAGCTGCAATGTAGGACCTGGCACATATATGCATCGGCCCAAGTTGCCATACCACAATAGCACAACAAGATGAACATCGGATTCATAGAAGTGATTAATTCAGTGGTGGTAATATATATAAGAAAATTGCATATAAGGAGATAGTACAGGAAGAAAGAATTAGTTCGTAGAAAGAAAGATATGAAGCGATTTCAATCTCTTAGTTTAAAGGAAGACAGAGAGTGTATACACCGACGCCATTGTGATCGATTCTGAGCCATGTCACCAAGAGTCTCCAACCATTGGTTACGATGGTCACTAATATTAAAATTCTCATCAAACGTTTTTCATAGGCATCGCAATAAACTATCGAAATTCTAAATAAATACAGATTAGGCTATCAACTACTCTACTATATTCAAATAAGGTTGGACATAATTAACATAAAATAAGAGCAACGAATATCTGGTTTTGTTTGCCAACAGTAAACTTCCTTCTGATTCAACAGAGTTTAAGGAAATTGTAACATTTACATGGGCGAATTACTTTCTTTAGTATTTACTTTGAATTAAAAATTTATCTTGGGTATTTTCAATGTGGATATCATATGAACATCTGTTCAAAAACCAAATAATAATATCAGTCATTTTTCTTTATGAGTTAATTTGACAAATATTTGTTGATGATTATATTAATAATTGTAATTTTTGGTTGTATCCTGCTGATGAGAAGCCGTAACAACACACGAGACCAAGTTGGTCACATTCAAATCCTTCCTACACCTCCTAATAACTCTCTTATCTCCACGACTAACCCTTCTTACGTCCCTTTATCACCTCGCCCCGCTAGTGAGAACGATTCTAGTACGCGGAACGTTATTCCTGGTCTCCTGAAACCACGCTCCAAACTACACGTAGGAGCTTTCAACGTCCGAACACTGTGCCAAATAGGACAACAGGCTTCCTTAGCTAAGACTTTAGAATCTCGCTCCATCGATGTGTGCTGCGTCTCCGAAACGCGCACACAGGATCCTAGTAGTGTCATTCATTTGACCGCACCATGTCAAAGTAACGAACCAACTCGATTTACGCTTCGTGTATCTGGAAGCCCTGATGCTGCTTCCCGTGGCCTAGCTGGCGTAGGTATAGCATTGAGTCCTAGGGCAGAACTAGCTCTCTTAGACTGGATCCCAGTAGACAGTCGTTTGTGCGCTGTCCGACTAAATGGAACAGCAAGGACTCGGAAAGATAGGGACACTCGTCGTTGCCTCTTCGTTGTCTCTGCCTACTCTCCCACTGACTGCAGCTCAGATAATGTAAAAGATGAGTTTTACAGAAAGCTTTCCGACCTTCTCCGAAAAGCTAGGCGTTCAGATGTAGTAATAGTGGCTGGTGACTTTAATGCTCAAGTAGGTAAACTAAGCGAAAAGGAAAGACACCTGGGTGGATCTTATGGTGTCGCGGCTCAAAGAACAGATAACGGCGACCGTCTGTTTCAGCTATGCTCAGATAACCGCCTGTTTCTTGCAAACACTAAGTTTAAGCATAAGGAAAAACATCTTTTAACATGGCGACCCCCTAATTCGTCCCAACGCTGGACCCAAATAGATCACATCACTATCAGCCACCGATGGAGGGGCTCGATAGAAGACTGTCGCTCACTCTTGAGCACATGCTTAGACTCAGATCATGCTCTAGTGCGAGCGCGTATTTGTCTACGTCTTGCTGGACGTAGGAAACATGCTGCAAGAAACCCCTTAGGGTCCTACTTAATGATAGTCAAGCTAAGAGTATATTTCAGGAACATCTAGAAAAACAGTTAGGCAGCTATGTAACTGATGCCCACCCCGAGGCAGCGTGGAATGACATCCGAAAAGCTGTAGAAACAGCAGTGATGTCTACAAGTATGGTAAACCATAAGGTTAGGGAGAAACACTGGATCTCAGCAGCATCTACCGCACTGATAGATGCTCGAAAACTCATTCCATCTGTCTCTGAACATAACGAAAAGCGGGGTCAGCTTAAGCGTAAGCTGACTAGAAGCTTACGCAATGATCGTGAACAGTGGTGGGTAGCGAAAGCAAGAGAGATGGAAAAGGCAGCGGCAATAGGCAACAACGGACAACTGTCCAGACTTGTTAAGGAAACCGGTATTAGGAACCCAACTGTTAGCGAAACTATCTCAGAGAAAGATGGACATATTATTCATTCTCAATCCAGGAGATTGGACCGATGGGCAGAACACTTTAGGGATCAGTTCAACTGGCCTTCAGCCACGCTTCGGTTTCCCACGATCTCCAATCTACCTGAATGGCAAGTTGATGTAAGTCCTCCGAATTTTTAAGAAGTTGAAAAAGCTATAGGAAATCTGAAGCGTGGGAGAGCAGCAGGCCCTGACAGGTTTACCCCTGAGATTTTTAAGGATGGCGGTCCAGTATTAGCAGCGAGATTGACTGAGGTCTTAGGTAGAATCTGGGAACTGGACGTAATCCCATCTGACTGGTCTCAATCACTGATTGTACCAGTCTATAAGAAAGGACAAAAGTCCTCCTGTGACAATCACAGAGGAATTAGTTTGACTAATATAGTGTCTAAAATATTAGCTTCAATAATACTTCGACGTCTAACCAAAGCTCGTGAAGAGCAGACTAGAGAAAACCAGGCTGGTTTTCGACCTGGACGTGGTTGTATTGATCAAATATTCACATTACGTCAGGTCCTAGAACATAGACACACATTCAGACGCCCCACAATGGTAGTATTTCTAGACCTTAAGGCGGCATTTGACTATGTTGATCGTGAGGTTCTATGGCAGTGTTCGTTACTGAAGGGAGTACCAAAGAAGTACATCAACCTTATAAAGGCTCTCTACTCGAACACAACTGGTCGAGTGACAGCTTATGGTGAACTGTCATCAGAACTGATTACCTCAAGTGGTGTTCGTCAGGGCTGTCCACTCTCTCCATTCTTCTTTAACTTTGTTGTTGACGTGCTTTTAGAAAAAACACTTTCCACATCTGACTTTCCAGGGGTTGAACTTCTACCGGGAGATCCACTTGTTGACCTAGAGTATTCCGATGACATAGTTCTATTTAGTGAAGACGCTGACAGAATGCAGAATCTTCTGACCAATCTAAGCAACAATGCAAGCATGTTCGGCATGCGATTCTCTCCCTCGAAATGCAAAATGTTGCTTCAGGATTGGGTTGCATCGGCACCCGAACTAGTGATAGGGAGTGAAGTAGTTGAGCGTGTCGACCGCTTCACTTATCTCGGAAGTCTCATCAGCCCTTGTGGCTTGGTGTGTGACGAAATCTCAGCACGGATACAAAAGGCTCGACTAACTTTTGCCAACTTGCGTCATTTGTGGCATAGGCGAGATATCCGTCTATCAACCAAAGGACGTGTTTACTGCGCAGCAGTTCGTTCCGTCCTACTTTATGGCAGTGAAACATGGCCAGTAAGAGTAGAGGATATTCGTAGGTTACTAGTATTTGACCATAGGTGTCTTCGAAACATCGCTCGTATATCCTGGGACCACCGAGTAACTAACGCAGTTGTTAGGAAACGGGTACTAGGTAAGGATGGCAAATCAATTGGTGAAGTAGTGAAACTTCATCAGTTGAGATCACTGGGACACGTGTTACGTATGCCCAACTACCGACTGCCCCGACGTGCGATGTTTTATGGTGTAGGAGTAGGTTGAAAGAAAGCTAGGGGCGGCTAGACCAAAACATGGCACAAATCCATGAAGTCACTGACAAGTGGACTGAGTCATGTTGGTAGGTGTAGACTACCTGGTTGGGGACCGCGAGATGATAGCAACCGATGGTTAGAGACCTTGAATGACATGGCTCAAAATCGTTTGCAATGGCGCAGGTGCATCCACTCTTTGTGTTCTCTCAAACTCTAATCTTCTGAATTCTTCATGTCCTTTATTTTCTTTCCCAATTTATTCCACTGGACTATACTCCTTTAATAACATCATCAAACCTTAATGTCCCCTATCTCTACTTATACTTTCAGTACCTCTACCACTATGGGATTTGAAACGATAACTGAATCTCTGTGCTAATGTGGTATGGCAACTCGAACTGATGTACGTACGTACGAAGTTCCACGTTGTTACTGACTGACTGACTGATGAGAAGCCGTGAAATAGAATGAATCCATTTTTTGTCTCAATCTTGTTGTTTTCGCTGCTTACATTTATCAGGGGATTTGGTTGAATGAAATATTTGGTCAGTTTTAAACTGTGAAAAATACCAATATTATGATTTAAAAACTTTAACTCACAAGAAGCTTGGTCAAATGTACCTTCATCCGTACATTCTACAACAGCCTGAACAGTGTTTTTTTCTTTATCGCTAAAAGTGTACAAATAAGTGAAAATGTTATGGTACATTTAGAAGGGGATAAAATAATCAAAATTGGAGTTGAGACTTAAAAATTATGTGATACCACAGTCAGAATATTAGTTACAAGTCTGAGCTTGATTCCACATACCCGATCTGCACAGTCTTGCAATACACCCAACTCTTTTAGAAGACCTGAATTACTATATATGAATACATGAGCCTGCACTCTCCAAATTACACAATACAACATTAGGAATAGACTAGTAAAATGAATGCAAGGTGTGCTAGAAACAACCACAAGTCATCTCACTAAGCACACATAGTTAATAGATCCTATGAACTGTATAAATAAATGTAGCCAATGTAGAAACTGGCATAAATGTCGTGCCAAAATGTTACACTTTGTATTACTACGGGAAGCAGTGATAAAGAAGACGGAACTAAAGGCAGTAGTTTCTAACTCAATAAGGAATTAGCTAAATAGAAAGGGATAAAACCCGGGGTTATGAAATAATATTAAGACTGAAAAGTTACTGGTAGAGTGAATGTATCTGTGAATACGATCGATCTCGGGTTATGCCGACAAACTTTTATGATTGCTAGTGATACTTCCCAAATGTCCAAACTAAGGTAGGTGAGGAGCAATCCGAACATTTAACTTGAAAGATGAAACCTTTAGACGTACACTGAAGATACCTGGATAATGTGTGCGTTATTCAAACCAACTAATTGGCTATACTGAAATATGATGTTGGCTGCAGTAGGACTGTTTGGAAAAAGGGCTGAAGATGATCAGGGTCCCATAATCACTGAAGAGGTCGAAAAAATGCATTTTTAAGTCACCAATTAGTGCCTATTTGACAGCCTTACTACTCAGTGACGTCAGTCAGCTGCAATGTAGGACCTGGCACATATATGCATCGGCCCAAGTTGCCATACCACAATAGCACAACAAGATGAACATCGGATTCATAGAAGTGATTAATTCAGTGGTGGTAATATATATAAGAAAATTGCATATAAGGAGATAGTACAGGAAGAAAGAATTAGTTCGTAGAAAGAAAGATATGAAGCGATTTCAATCTCTTAGTTTAAAGGAAGACGGAGAGTGTATACACCGACGCCATTGTGATCGATTCTAAGCCATGTCACCAAGAGTCTCCAACCATTGGTTACGTTGGTCGCTTGGACTCCAACCAAGTAGTCTGCATCTACCAACATGGTTAAGACTAGAAGTTAGTGTCTTTAAGCACTGATGCCACGTTTTGGTTTGGCCACCCCTAACTTTCTTCCAATTATCACCAACACCGGTTAGCATTGCACGTCGTGGTAATCGGTGTTCAGGCAAACGTAACATATGACCCAACCATCTCAGTCGATGAAGATTCACAACCTCATCAACTGATTTACCATCATTCCCTAACACCCTGCGTCTAACCTCACTATTACTTACCCGATGATCCCAGCAATATTTCTAAAGCATCTGTGGTCAAATATTAGTAGCTTACGAGTATCTTGTACTCTTAAAGGCCACGTTTCGCAGCCGTATAGTAGAACGGAACGAACTGTCGCGCAGTATACTTAGTGACGTGAGAAAATCCAGAGCTTAAACTTGGTTGTGAGTACGAAGAATTCACCTAGGGGAGTCAGGAAACCCTGTGATGTATATGGGCTCCAGGATCCTAAGAGAACAGATCACGCATGAGCATATTATCGGACGTCAGCTACCATGGGACTGCATCTCTCCAAGTTGCTCCACTGCGTTGTGGATTAGACCTCAAAGTCAAGGGCTTGGGGAATGGCCCCCTAAGAACACCACCTGTCCTTTGGTCTGGATACCCGAGCATTATCCCAAGCCACACACAAATTTCATGATAACTGCCTTGTGTGGTGCACATAAACGCTTTCACACGGCCACGCGTATATAGCCCCTGCTAGGGAAGTCCTACTCACTGCCTTCTCGTGGCGGGGGTGTTGTTTACGAAATTGAGAGGACGAAAAGCGAATGTCCGGTGCTTCAACTGGATCCCAAACCAATGGTGCACATGGACTCTAATATCCTGCGACAACAAGTGGCGTATGAACCAATCGTTGGTTACCGGCTACCATGGGATTGCATCTCCTCACCATGCTCCACTGCCTTGTGGGTGACAAGTCTTGCAATTTGAACGCTATACTCGATTCCTAAGCTATTCTTGAAACCCTCAAGCTAGAACTATACAGCGACCTGAACACGAGAGAGGTGAAAAGTGTGCAAAAAGTACTTTACTCCAAGGTTCATTTTAATACAGAAAATATAGGGTTTTTATAATATCATAAATGTCCTTGAGTTGCTCGAAGATTCCGGAATGCTACTAAACATAGTAGCAGTAGAGCAATCAGCCAATCAGAACCTCTGCATGTGACGTCTCACTTCCTTGATGTTTCTGGCTAAAACTTCAAGTGAACGCTGATCGGATGAAATGCTTCTTAGTGTTTCCTTATCCTTGCTTGTCTTATGCGAGAAAGTTTCTGGATCACCACAACAGTGGGTCACACCTTTAAATCAAAAGCTCGGGGTGTGGTCCCCTAAGGAAACCACGTGCTTCGGTCTGGGAACCCGGGCAGTATCACATCCCATACACACAAATAAAATGAAAATGATATTTACTAGAAGTTCAATTCACGCTTCGATTAACAGTCAAACAATTCACATTATTATTATTATTATTATTATTATTATTATTATTATTATTCACTACGTCATTTATTCACTCTTTCATTCCCACTCTATCTATCCTTATTTTTCGACTTGTACAGCAGCTCGCCTATGGTGGAAATTCGGCTCTATCTAAACGTTCTCGAGTCACTGCCTGGTTGAAAATTGTATGCTACCACCGAATACGAGTACTGAAGCAGTTTTTCTGAAACCACGTGCACCATTCAAACTGACTCCCTTCAACGTTCGCACACTTATGCAGGTCGGACAACAGATAGGGCTGGCTATGTCTTTGGAAAGTCTTAATATCGACGTTTTTTGTCTATCCGAGACCCGTATTCAAGACTCTGGTGAAGTACTACAAATTCGCCCTCCATCTGTCGCTTCAAAAAGTTTGTTTTACGTGCGTTTATCCTAGGACCCTGTGGCGTCGTCTGGTCTTTCTGGCGTTGGTGTCGTACTAAGCACTAGAGCTGAGGAAGCACTAACCGATTGGATCCCCATTAACAGTCGGTTATGTGCTGTTAGATTAGAAAGTTCCATCAAAGTGAGAAGAAATCGGCGTGGGAAACGATGTCTTTTCGTCATCGCCGCCTATGCCCCGACAGATTGCAGCCCAGATGCAATCGAAGATGAATTCTACCACCAGCTAACTGTTCTCCAGAAAATGCATTCAACAGATATTGTAGTACTAGACAGAGACTTGAATGATCAGGTCGAGCGTCTAGGCACAGAAGAGAGTCGTTTAGGCGGCCGATAGGGACTTGTTGGTCGCGGGACAGATAACGGAGAACGTCTACTGCAACTATGCACAGACCACAACTTATTTTATTTTTTTATTTTAACACATAGATATCGGTGCAAGAAGGCATTAAATACATATGCGCCACACAGATCTCATTTGATATGTGTAAGGGCTGTGATACTGCACGGGTGCCCAAACCGAAGCAGGTGGTTTTCTTAGGGGGCCACACCCCGAGCCTTTGACCTGAAGATCTGATCCACAAGGCAGTGGAGCATCGTGAGGAGATGCAGTCCCATGGTAGCCGGTGACCAACGATTGGTTCATACGCCATTTGTTCCCGCAGGATACTGGAGCCCATGTGCACAGACCACAACCTGTTTCTGGCTAGCACTAACTTTCGGCACATTCATCGCCGATGTGCCACCTGGCGTCCCACTTCTACATCTCAAGCCTGGATACAGATTGATCACATCGCGATCAGCTACCGCTGGCGTGGTTGTGTACAAGACTGCCGCTCCTTTTGGAGTACCTATCTGGAATCTGATCATGCTCTGGTCTGCGCCAATCTTACCTTACTTTTCAGTGGACAACGAAGTGACCGCCACTACAGGATTGATGTTAGCAAGCTGGCTGCAACTTCTGTTGCTAGTAAGTATCGAACCGAGCTAGATTCTAGGCTAGCTACCATTCCACCGAAAAGTATAGATGAGCATTGGTTGCAATTGCATGACGTCATGAAAATGGCGGGTCAAGTCTGTTGTGGGTTCGCGAAACGTCCCACTTATAATCACTGGGTTTCTTCTGGTTCCTTACAACTCATTGAAGCCCGTCGGTCTACTCCGGGCGACCGTGAGTTTGACCACAGAAGAAGGATGTTACGTAATTATTATTATTATTATTATTATTATTATTATTATTATTATTATTATTATTATTATTTTAACACATAGGTATTGGTACAGGGAGACGCCAAATACATATGCGCCACACGAATCTCAATTGATTTGTGTGAGGGCTGTGATACTGCACGGGTGCCCAAACCGAAGCAGGTGGTTTTCTTAGGGGGCCACACCCCGAGCCTTTGGCCTGAAGATCTGATCCACAAGGCAGTGGAGCATCGTGAGGAGATGCAGTCCCATGGTAACCGGTGACCAACATTCGGTTCATACGCCATTTGTTCCTTCAGGATACTGGAGCCCATGTGCACCATTGGTTTGGGATCCGGTTAAAGCGCCGGACATTCGCTTTTCGTCCTCTCATTTTCGTAAACAACACCCCCGCCACGTGAAGGCAGTGAGTAGGACTTCCCTGGCAGGGGCTATGTACGCGTGGCCATGTGAGAGCATTTAGAGAGGGAGAGCGGACTCTCCCCACTCTCGGCCGTACCAGGGCATTTGGGGGCATGTTACGTAATGAAATCGGACAAAGCTTGCGTAAGGACCGAGAAGCCTGGTGGTCGGAGCGTGCTAATGAGCTGGAAGCAGCAGCTGCATCTGGTAATTACCGGAAGCTCTTCCAACTCATCCGAGCCACTGGCAGCAAGAAGTTTGGTGTGAGCGAAACAAT